TACCTCTTTGAATCACTACAACAAAAATGATTAGTTTAGATATTTTTTGTGTCTCAATAAGTGGTGTAATAGGACACATGTGATTCGCATTGCGTGAAACACTACTAAATAGTGTTTCGTATAATCGAGTCACAATAAGTCATAAAACATTTGAAAGTGTATCATTAGATTGTCACTTAATAAGACACTTCAAAGTGACCCATTAAGTAGGGTAATAGTTTACAAGTAACCCCACATAGTACACTTATGATATTGTTTCATAATATGCATACACTTTTTTCATTTTTAATAAGAAACTTTTTAGCAAATGTCCTAATACACATACAATGAGACACATTTTAAAAAAAGTGTCCCATTATAAATGTATTAATAGCCTATTTTTGTTGTAGTGAATGATTGACCAAATCAGACAAGCAAGCGAGTCTCCTGATTTTTCAACGGTTTATTAATAAAATTACATCTGTTTAACATCCACGTTACCATATTAAAATTATCCATTCCCTTATTTACGGTGACCTGTTGCGTACCTGTACTTTGTGGGATTCGAATCTGTAATATTTTACTGAGCTTGTGGAAGAAAATTTGTACAATCCATTAAAGAATTCAAAAGTGATAATATAATTAGTAATATCTTACCGGCAAAATTATAATCAAGTACTACGTACTCTGTCCGAAATTAAAAAAAATAAAGGAATACTTTGTTTTCTTCCATATTTTCCTCCCCTGGTCCTTTCTGAGAAAGGCAATTTAATAGCAATAGATTATGGACTTTCATGCAATGGTTTTGATTATTTGACAATGAACAATTAATGAATTAATGTGATTGGGTGATTTGTATATGCATTGGGCTGCTGAAGGGTTTTCAGTTTCGGTGGACATTTTTGAGTGTTCAAATGCTGTCAATATCATTCTAGACTAATTTGTTTTGACCGCAACCAGCTTTTTGGATTATTTCCTTGGCTCCATCTGTCAATTTGGGACGCTACTCTAAGAGCTGAACTCTTTCTTTTCCTTTGCTATGATCGCTGATTAATCCGTATTTTGCGCTTGAAATTAATCTGTAAATCTTGCACTTATACCTTTTCCATGACTCAGAAAACGTATTTTCAGTCTTCATTAAGATTAAAACATAATTACTATACTTAGTACCACCTCTGTCCCAAAAAAATAATCTAGTTAACTAGCAGCACAAGTGAAGGATGTCGATTTCCCTTTATTTGATTACACGAATTAGGAATTATGGAAAACAGATATTTATCCCCGGATAATGACCATATGGAAAAAAGATATTTATGTGAACAAAAAATGACCATACGCCGTGGAAAAAAAATAGTGTTTCTATACATACATATATATATATAAATAAAAATTTCAATCGAATTAAATGAAAAAGAAAGTGTTACAAAGTAATTTTTCTGTCCCAAAATTATTGTCCAGTTTAAAATTTCATCTTCAGTATAATTTATACTATAAATAAAAAATCAATCTGGACAATAATTATGGGACGGACGGAGAGAGTACAACCTTAATTCAATGATCTCTGTTTGCGGAAAAACTTTTCAAGAACAGGCCAAATTGGTTCAGTGGATTAACTGCGGCAAGTGCTGTCCCTTTCAGTTTAGTTTTTATTAAGTGTTACAAGAAAATGTTGATTTTAAAAAATATTTACAGCGAGTTTTGAATTTTATTATATTTTTAATATAAATTTAAAAATTTAATATAAACTATTTTATTAAAATATAGATAATTTTTACAGATCCTTGTTATAAATATTTCATCTCCGTTTTAAAGTAAAAATCACATTTCAAGTCCAAATCAAACGTTTATGCTGCATAAGTATTTTCCTTTGCCGGGGATCAGACTGGGAAATGAAAAGTTTGTAACTGAAAAGATGAAAACTTGACTTTCGTTCATATTGGTCTTCTGATCAAAGACGACCAACATAAACACCGTTTGACTTTCTTTCCACTCACTGTATCACAATTCACACACAAGATTTGGATGGGGAACGAAAAACGAACGAGGGCTTAAAAATCCAGCTCCACGTTCGATATGATAGATGACGAGGAAACTATATTTTTCTTTTTTCTTTTTTTTTTTTTTTTGGAGATTGGCCATAATTAGTAATTGCATGATGTAAACCCAAAAATACAGCTTTAATTTAAAATGGTGAACTTAATTTGGAGGTGAGGTGTATATATATGTATATGTATAGACGGCTGCAATTTCATCGATTTTTCTTTCCTTTGTTATAATTTTTTCTGCAACAACACAAAACTGTAAAAAATGGAATGCAGTTCGAGAAGCTTTCTTGTGCTCTTTTCACTTTGCCCGCAGTAGTCAAATAAACATCAATGATAAAGAAACCAAAGATTCTTGAATCACCTACCCAAAAAAAAAAAAAAAAAGAAGCTTGAATTCATTGCTGTTTTGAAAGTACCTTTTGTTTTTTTAAATCGTATAATGATAGTGTAACTACAATGTCGTCTTATTATTAGTTAATTAATGCTAGATCAATAATTTTTTTCCAAAAAAGAAAGTAAGATAAAATTTCCATATTTCTATCGAGTTTTTCCAATTTTCGCCACCATGGTTGTCATATATATCTCATGTCAATGTCATGAGAGTAATTTTTAAAAAAGAAAAGTGTCCTTTTAGTTGTATTATGTTGACCCTAAAGTTTTCTAAGTCCATGTCTGTTATTCAAATTTTTACTAATTAAAAAAACTACGTGATTCATTTGAGTTAGAGTAAACTTAAAGAAATGGTTATTTATTTAGATTAACCAAAAATAAAAAATAAAAAAATCTCCAAGTACATTACTACTTCACTAGTTCCCAAAAATGGTTATCATATGTCATCAATCCAAATGTATAAATATGATTTTTTATTTGTCCTTTAACTATTTGGTGAATTCAATATGATATTATGAATATATGATTGTAAAAGGAAATTGGCAATTTTGTAATTGTGCTAATTAAGTCAAGAATATTACTTCTGATTTTATTTTTTATTTGTTTGCATTCGTTTGGCATTTACAATTTTTACACATAAGTTATTTTTTTTTGGGTATCATTTCAACTTTATCGAATGTTTTTAAAATACCAGAACGAGATTCGACAAACAAAATAATTGGGAGAGCTAACATAGTCGAAAACAAATTCAACTTGGTCCTCTATTCCACTCATTTTAAGTGCGTGAAATGCTGTTGACTACTGCTACTATAAGTCCATAAGCAGAAGAAATAGTCCTTACATTTTCTCTTCTTCTCTCTTGAAGTTAATTACCTTATTCAAAGTTTTTCTTACAACAGTATTTAAATGAGCAAAAAAAAAGCCAAAAATCACACACACACACACACACACACACACACACACACATATGCATATGAATGAAGTTATGAAATTAAGTTTTTATTATAAAAATACACTTTTTTACACTTGACAAAACGAATAAATTGTTCTTGTCTAGTTTTGTAAACAAATTGTACTTCTTCTGTTTTACTTCAATACTCTATTTTTATTAGTTTCATAAAATTTATAAGGAAAATGAGACAGAGAATGTTTATTAGTTTTTTATTATCTTTTGGAAGTACGTAACTGATCATCATTACGAGTTTTTTCTTTCCTTCTTTCTTTCTCTTTTTTGAATGATAAGCTTTCGATGAGACCATATGATTGCTTACGGCCTACCAAATCGACTAACCCAAATTTTCACTGGTCAATTTTGAATACTGTGGAAAAATGTTACCAAAGATATTTCCATTTTTCCATCCTCAGTTAGCATTTAAGGAGGCTGGCATTTTTCTTCCCCCATTCCGTGAAATTTGCACTTGTCATGAATGTTTGATTAGTAAAATTAACCTAATTTTATATTTTCAATGAGTACCACTTTCATTTATAGTCCTGATTTGCAACAATTCTTGTCCGATGACACCTTTGATTATGCCCTTGCAGATTGATTTTGACTTAGATGAATTAAAGAAGGAATGATATTGCGAAGTGAACATTTTTTTTTTAAAAAAAAAAAAGATATTGCGAAGTGAAATGCGAAGGTAAGATGAGTATTATTACTTACGAACGTACATGCAAATTTTTTAATACCTTAGAGCTTCAACTTGAGTGATGAACATAATATTAAAATATTTCTGAATTGAAGTTGAAAGAAAAAGCAACGTTGATACTAGAACCGCAGGCTGTTTTCCGATCATTTTTGTTTTTTGTTTTTTGTTTTTAAGCTAGATTTTACAGGAAAAAAAAGTTTACCTGATTCGTTATAGAGCCTCATACCTTTGCGCGATTTGCCATATTTTTTAGTTTTGATTTGTTCAAAATGTGAGTTTTTAAGGAATTATTGTTTGAAAGATGTCTAAGAGAATTTCAAAAGTGAGTTTGAAAGTTTTATTGCAGGAGTAAAATGGTCATCACAAATGGTGAATAGCCATTTTTAGAGCTGCGGATAGCAACCCACTAAAAATACAGTCAATTACAATTTGTTTCAAAAAAAAAAAAAAAGAAAGAAAGAAAGAAAAGAATTTTCGGACTTCTGCACATAAAATTAAGGGAATACCCTACCGTATTTCATTATTCGAAATGTCGTGACTTGTTTTACCCTACAATAATAACCGCACCTGACTTCCTACGGTACTCTGTATTTTTAATACTATACTCCATGTCTAACTGCTGTTTGTCAATGTTTAATCCATTTCAGTCATGAATACACCCATTCGAGATTCCTCTTGTCAATAAATCATTTTTAAATTCATAATTTGAGTGTATACTAATGTCTAGTTGCAAAGATTCAACTGGAAATAATTAGTTTTGAATGACTTTTGTATGTCGTAGTAGTAGATAAAGTGTTTTTGCTTAATCCAAATGTAGTTAATTTAATTAATTTTAGTCAGTGTCACTCTTTGACTAAACCTGCCACAAAAACATAAGCGTATATGGATGAGAATCGGAAACAATGGAAATGTATGCATGATTGTCAAATTTGTGCTATAAAAACCCCCCGAATGTAAGTCAAGCAAACAATATCGGATCAAAATTAATTAAACATCAAATTAATAAACCCTCTGAAAAAAGCTCCTTTTGAGTGGAATTAATCGCCATGGAGCTCATCACTTTCGTAGCTTGTTTCCTTCTCTTCTTGATCATGGCAGCCAAATCCATGAGAAAACCTAAAAATCTCCCTCCAGGGCCAAGGCCATTACCAATCATCGGAAACCTTCATCAGGTCCATGGCGCTTTGCCACATCGAATTCTTCGAGATTTCGCCAAAAAATATGGCCCTTTGATGTACCTAAAACTCGGTGAAGTCCCGACGGTGGTAGTTTCTTCCCCGGAGATGGCGAAATTGGTGATGATGGATCACGACATCGTCTTCGCTAGCCGGCCTTACCTCCTCTTCGGCGACATTCTCAACTACAACTGCCAAGATATCGCCTTTTCGCCCTACTCGGATTCATGGAGACAGCTCCGGAAGATTTGCAACATGGAGCTTCTAAGTTCCAAGCGTGTCGGAACACTTCGACCCATCCGAGAAGAAGAAGTGATGAACGTGATGAAAACGGTGGCTTCCCGGATTGGTGAAACCATCAATTTGACCAAAATGATTTATTCGGAGACCTACAGTGTAATTGCGAGGTCGGCTTTTGGTAAGAAAACCAAATACCATGATGAGTATATTGCATTGATGGAAGAAGTGATTAAGTTGATGGGAGGACTTAGCATTGTGGATTTGTACCCATCTGTGAAAATACTTGAAAGAATCACTGGGCTTAGGAGCAAACTTGAGGCCATCCAAAAGAAGGTAGACGAAGTGCTTGAAAGCGTGATTAACGAGCATAAGCTTAGAAGGGCTCAGCCTAAACAAGATGGAGTTGAAGAAGAGAAAGAGGATCTTGTTGATGTCCTTCTCAACGTCCAAAACTCACAAGAATTCCGAGGAACACTAACCAGCAACAACATCAAAGGTGCAATTTATGTAAGTCCATCATCATCCCAAATTCCTATCTCTATCATCATTCTATCACAATGTCTTCACCTAAATCACTTGGCCTTTGTTTGAAAGGTTTTTTTTATGGTAATTTCAAAATTAATATTAAATAATAAATGTCTCGTCTCAATATATCTTCTTTACATTATTAATAAAAAATCCTAAAAATACACTAAAAAAAGGTCCAAATATAGCTTAAATAAACAAGTATTTAGTTCAACAAAATGAATTATTGTATCTGTCTTAAAGAATTAGTTCGCATCGACTTTTGAGTTTTGTATTCGGAAGTGAGTGTTGGAATTGTCAAATATTATTGAGTTTGATGAATGTTTGATTGGATTCTTTCAGGATGTGTTTAGTGCTGGAGGAGAAACATCATCGAAAACCTCAATTTGGGCACTATGCGAAATGATCAAAAACCCAACGTTACTACAAAGAGCACAAGAGGAAGTGAGAAGAGTCTACGGTCCAAAAGGAAACGTGGACGAGTCCCAACTCCATGAACTCAAATTCCTCCGGGCAGTCATCAAAGAAGCGCTCCGGTTCCGGCCATCCGCGCCGCTGACTCTCCCCAGAGAAAGCAGAGAAGACTGCGAGATCGGCGGTTACTTCATTCCGGCCAAGACCCGGGTCATCGTCAACGCTTTTGCTGTTTGCAGGGACCCGAACCACTGGGTCGAACCGGACGTGTTCAACCCAGACCGGTTTCTGGAATCGAATATTGATTTTCAGGGGAAGGACTTCTCTTACATCCCGTTTGGCGCCGGACGCCGGATTTGTCCCGGAATTGCTTTTGCTTTGCCTAATATGGAGTTGCCACTTGCGCACTTGTTGTTCCATTTCGACTGGAAGCTCCCCGGAGAAATGGGGCCTCAAGACCTGAACCTGACTGAGGTTTTTGGGCTGACGGTTGGGCCGAAAGAGGATTTATGCCTGGTTCCAACTAGTATTTACCACAAGTCCATCTTGGCCTAATTATTAGGAAAGTCGAAGTTGTCAAGTTTGAATGTGATGTAAGAAGAATAAATTGGGTAGATTTGAAAAAGAAGTGTTATACTCCCTCCTCCCTTCGCTCCTTATTATAAGGTATTTTGATTTTGTCTTAAATTTTACTTTGGATATGTTTTAATTTTTTTAAAAAATTTCAAAATATATTTTCACACTCGTCATGTTCTCTTAATTATTAGGAAATGTTTTTAAGATTTTTATTTCAATTAAAAAGACATCCTAAGTGAAACTTATGACAAATCAAAATGTCTTATAATAAGCACAGGAGAGAGTATTTCAATTTCAAGAGTCAAGAAAAATCTTCTATGTGTTTTTGTTTTTTTTTTTCAAAGCCGCGAAAAAAACTTCCGATTACTATGTATGGTTTAGTGATGTATGTAACCTCCATTAAAGATTTTACGTTTACATGCATGTACTTAAGGATCGAATCATAAATTTCACGAATTTGGTTAAGTGTAGGATTTATTTCCTTCTTTGCGAAATGATTGTTCAGTTTGAACTTTCATTTTCGGTTCAAAATATAATAAAATTAAAAATTCAAATTAGACAATCATTTAAGAATAAAGGTAATAATATTTAAGAATCAGGTACTAAAAAAAAATTGAGCTAAAAACATAAATTCCTCCTTGATATAAAATTTTTCTTCTAATTACAAAAGACAGAGAGAGCTCTGACACACTTGCATAGAGAAGTTAATTGCTATTTTGCTATTACTCCTTCCGGTCGTTATTATAAGTCATTTTGATTTCGTTTTAGGTTTAACCTAAAATGTCTTTTTAATTGAAAAAAATTTTAAAATATATTTTCACATTCTTTGTGTTCTCATAATTATTATGAAATGTTTATAAAATTTTTATTTTAATTAAAAAAATATTCTCAGTAAAACTTAGAACGAAATCAAAATCCCTTATAATAAGGACCAGAGTAAATATTTGCTAAGCTCTCACGGTCGCACCACCTTGGTCTGGGACAGCTTTTGATCGACCTCATCCTCTCTCGCGGGTGGTAATTAAAGGTACAATATAAACCAGAGAAAATGAAAGCAATTTCAACCCATTTGCTATAAAACGAGTTCAGTAACTAAGTCGACAAGACTAAATTCAATGTATAATACTCCGAGGACCAAATCAAGAAGACTCAATTTCTTCACATTAAGTTTGTTCACTTTTGGACTAGATAAAGAGTTCAATAAATTCAAAAAATCTGAAAGTTATGTTATATATTTCCATTACCTTTGGCATTAAGATCCGACTACAACATTGATGAAACTCAATTTAATGTTTAAACATTCTGATGATCAAACAATGAAATCCAACTTTGTTTATTTTTATTTCTCGATTTGAATATCGAAATAAAATAATCCCATGACCAAGTCGAGAAAACTCAATTTCTTTTTTATTTTTCGTCAACTTAGACATCGAACAATTGTACTTGACGCCTTAGTCGACGAATCACAAATTTCTTCTTCTTTTTTTTTTTTTTGTTTATTTATGTTGGCATCAAGCTAATGAACCCGATCGCTAGTTCAACGAAGCTAATTTTTGTTAATTTTTATAGTCGACTCTTCCGTCGAGATAATGAACCTGATGCCAAAGTAAACAAACTTCATCTTTTCGTTTAGAGTAATTTGCTCAAATAGTCCTTTACATTTGGTAGAAAACTTAATTAGGTCCTTTACATTAAAAATTCACTCTTTTAGTCTATTAGATTTGTCTTTTCAACTAATTTGGTTTTTTTTTTTTTTTTGGCCCTTTATATTTGTGAGTTATTCGGCTGGACAATTCTTGGTCAACTCAACAGGGGCATTTTCGGTAACTTATAAAATCTGTGATTTTTAAAATATGTTAAAAACCAAAAATGTATTAAAATAAAATATATTATATTAATTTATAATTTTATTATTAAAAAAGAAAAATTCAAAAATTCAAAATTTAAATATAATATTATTAAAAAATTGAAATATAAAAAAATCAAAATTTGATTTATTTTTTTTTACCCGTGGGCCCCAATCGAAACATTATTTTTACCCAATTTTTATCTACCATCACCGGACCACCTCTGCCGCCACCAATCACCGCCGGACCGCCCACTGCTACTGCCGGACTGCAGGCGGCCGGCGACCGGCTAGCAGGATTCTGGCAAGTTGGCTGGAATTAGGCTGGAATCCGGCCAGCCAGTCGACAGTCGGCGGCGGTCTGGAGGCGCCGGTGGGCAGTCTGGCGGCGGCGGTGGAGATGGTTTAGTGGTGGTGTAAAAATATTAAGAAAAAATTAATTTATAATATTAAACATATTATATTAATTTATAATTTATTATTAAATAAGAAAAAATTTAAATATAATATTATTAAAAAATAAAAAAATCCAAAATCTAATTTTTTTTTTTAACTCGTCGGCCCCAATCGAAGTTTTTTACCCTTAAATTATTCTGTTTTTATCATGTGGGCCTCAAATCTAATTTTTTTCTTTACCCTTATTCCGTGTTTTTTTTTTGTGAGTTATTTTGGTATTAAAAAAAAATAGATATGGGCCCCACATGATAAAAATAGAGAGCTTATATGGACAATGGTTTATTTTAGTTTTTTGTTTGAGTTTGAGATGTGATTTAAAATGTGATTTATCGTGTGAGGCCAATATCTAATTTTTTTCTTTACCTTTATTCAGTATTTTTTTTCGTTATACCATAATAACTCACAAAAAAAAAAAATATTGAATAAGGATAAAGAAAAAAATTAGATGTGAGCCCCATATGATAAAAACAAAATAATTCAAGGGTAAAAAAAATGTCGTTTGGGGCTAACGGGCAAAAAAAATAAATCAGATTTTGGATTTTTTTTAATTTTTAATTTTTTAATTTTTAAACAAGATTATATTTGAATTTTGAATTTTTAAATTTATTTCTTTTTAATAATAAATTATAAATTAAAATAATATATTCAGTATTATTTTAATACATTTTTAGTTTTTAATATATTTTAAAAATCTGAGATTTATAAGTTACGGAAAATGCCATTGTTGAGTTGACAAAGAATTGGTCAACCTGAGAACCCATAAATGTAATGGACCAAAAAAAAATAAAAAGGACCAAATTAGTTTCAAAAACAAATATAATGGACCAAATGAATGATTTTTTAATGTAAAGGACCAAATTAATTTTTCTGTCAAATATAAAGAACCATTTGAACAGATTACTCTTTAGTTTATTACGGGTCGTCGACTGTGTAGTCGATATCATTAACCCGACGCTCAAATCGACGACCTTGAATTCAATGTTTGTTATCGTTCGTCGACTTTCACGTCGAGAAACTCGATGCAACGTCTATGAAGCTCAACTTTTGAATATTTAAGTTTGTTCACTTTTGGACTAAATAAAGAGTTCAATAAATTCAAAAAATCTGAAATTTATGCTAAATATTTCCATCACCTTTGGCATTAAGATAAGAAAACCCAACTACAACATTGATAAAACTCAATTCAATGTTTAAACATCCCGATGATCAAGTCGATGAAAACCAAATTGACAAAATTGATAAAAACTCACTTCTATTTTTCTTCTATTTGTCTACTTAGACAATGAACCATTGAACTTGACGTCCAAGTCGATGAAACTTTTTTTTTCTGGTTGGTTTATTTAAGTTCGTCAACTTTGGTATCAAGTTAATGAACCTAACTCCTAGTTCAGCGATACTATTCTTCTTGTTTAGTTTTGTTTATCGACTCTCTCGTCGAGAAATGAACTACGCTTTTAGTTTATAATGGTTCGTTGACGTTTCAGTCGAGATTATTTAACCGATGGTGAAGGCGGCGAACTTCAATTCTTTGTTTGTTTCTTTCGTCGACTTTGACGTCGCGATAAGAAACTCGATGCCAAAGTCAACGAAGCTTAACTTTTTGAATTTTTGAGTTCATTCACTTTTCGACTACATAAAGAGTTAAATGAATTCAAAAAATCTCAAATTTATGTTGAATATTTTCATGAACTTCGATATTAAGACAAGAAACCCGACTACTAAAATTGATGAAACTCAATTTAACGTTTGAAAATCTTGACGATCAAGCCTATAAATTGCAACTTTTTAAAATTTCTCAACTTGAACATCGAGATTAAAAAAAAGTCCCGATGGCCAAATTGACAAAAAAAAAAAACTTTTGTTCTTCTTTTGTTCATCTACTTAGACATCGAACCAATGAACTTGAGCCCAAGTCGACAACCCTCATATTTTTTATTTTTTATTTATTTTTTTTAATTTATGTTCATCAACTTTGGTTTGAAGCGAATGAACCCAACTCCTATTCAACGAAACTAGTTTTTTTTTTTTTTTTTTGGTTCGTGGATTCTTCCGTTGAAATATTGAACCTTGTGCCAAAAGGCAACGAAGCTTTTAGTATATTATCATCCGTCGACTTTGTACTCAAGATCATTAACCCGACGGTTAAGTCGACGACTTTCTATTCTTTGTTTGTTTTTGTTTGTCGACTTTTTCGTCAAGGTAAAAAAACTCGACGTCAAAGTCAACAATGGTCAACTTTTTTTAGGTGACGCCAGGAACCCCTCCAGAGATGGATAAACCTACGCCCACTGCAATAGCCTGCAAACCACAGTTGGAGGTAAACCATCCTAGGCAAGCCCGGGGTGACAAGTTCGGGTGCGAAATCAGGAGTTCATGCACGGGTTTGCCATACCAAGCCCTTTAGAGGTGCCAATTGGCAAGGTTAGAGCCATCCATCACTCTTGTTGGAGTGGGGTTTTGAACTCATTACCTCCTCTTGAGAGCAAGAGTGGTTTTATCACTGAATCAATACCTCATTCGCAGCAACGGTCAACTTTAAGACAATTTAAATTCGTTCACATTTTTACTAGAGTTTTTTTGAAGCAGTTTTACTAGAGTTTGATAATTCACAAATCTCAATTTTCTTGAATATTGTCATCAACTTCGACACTCTGATAAGAACCCGACTGCGAATTGCAAAAATTCAACTTGATGTACGAGATTTGCACTTTATTTAGTCCCATGACTAATTCACTAAAATAGAACTTAAATGTAATAACGTTGTTTATTGGAGTTTTGGATGCAATCAAGATAGAGTTAACATTCATGGATTGAGTTCATTTTCTCTGGTGTGACTCGGCTTTTAAGTTATTGGATAAAATTTTTTGTTTTAATGAAGAAAAAATCAATAAGGTAAATCCCTTAAAATTTTATATGAGGGTAACATAGGTAATAATTAAAATTTTTGCTCTCAATCTAAAATAATTGCTCTTAATTTATCAGCTTCAGTGTCTAAGTTGATTTCCAAGGCCTCACACGTATACTATACATTATTAATTGCATTGTGTTAGGTTTGGTGAGACACGAAAACATGTTTGTTGAATGTTGACTATGGAGGTGATGATGAAAAACCCATAAAGTCCACATAAATACCCAATTAAATATCATTGTGAATCGATGTATGGAAGACAATTATCATTGTCTTACATCATAAAAATCTTCTAAAATCTTAACTTCTTCTTTATAAAATTGGTAGACGCTTTAACTCAATCTACAATTTATTTTGTTCGAAGCCCAAATTTTACATATTATTACTTTTGTCCTAAAAATATAATCCACATTTAGTATTTAGATTTGAGAGTTGTATTATTTTTAATTAAAAAAATCTCAAAATTCAATGTAGTTTTTTTTCTTCGGATACAGAGGAAATATATATTATCAAACTAAGAAAAATTCAAAGTAAAACATGAGAATTTTTTCCCCTTATCTTACACAGAGCTGAACCATGATACATATGATCTGATCATATGATCAAAGTCATTTACATAATTGCTCAAACAAAGACAATCCACAACCTAACAGTCTAAGACGACAATCATTAACAACAAGCGAATGATGATGCACAACAATGAAACGAATACACCCCCAATAACTCCGGGGTTATCATTATTCTCAACAAAGAAGGATCCAAGATAAACCGAATGGACAGTCTAGACTTGGGCTCATTTGGGACCAACAGTATCGTTATGATCACATGGAGCTGCTTTATTGGGCTTTGACTCTCGTAGAACCTTGGCATCTTCACCACCATAGGCAGAAACATTAGGCCTTGGCTCGAATTCTTTGACAAAGGACTCGTCTTCTTTCTTGAGTTTACTGTCATTTCCATAAGCAGAAACATTGGGCCGTGGATCAAAGTCTTTCACAAACGATTTATCTTCTTGCTTCAGCTTACTGTCGTCCCCATAGGCCGAAACATTGGGCCGTGGTTCAAAGTCATCATTAACAAATGACTCATTGGGATTAGTAGTAGCAGTAGAAGTGATTTTCTTCAAGCTAGAAAGAGCAGATTCTATTTGGAAAAGTTGCTGCATCACTTCTTTCTTAGTTTCATCAGCTTTGCCAACAAGTTGCTTATACTCACCTGGAGAAGTCCTTGCATCTGTGATTCCTGCAAACTACATGAACAAAAAAAAAAAAAGAAGAAAAGTTTAAATTTGCACTAAAAAAACCGAAGAGGAAAATACGAGTGTATTTCGTCAATTTAGGTTCTTACCAGGGCAATGGAGAAGAGAGTGATGAGAGTTAATGGGGAGGCCATTCCTATCTTTACTACCTTCAAAATGGAGAGTTACAAAATTAGAACTTATTTTAGGTATCAAGTGTCGGAGGCAATGTGGTACTTATAAGTGAATATATGTGAAGAAAGAGATCATGCAGTGCTTAACATGATGAAGGATGGTAGTTTGGCCCAAGTGTCTACACCACAAGATTCATCCAGTCATCATGAATCATGTGAATGATGTAGGGTCAATTTCTGCTTCACTTGTAGGGTATAATATCCCCAAATTTTTTTAAAAAATAAAACGGAGTATATAATTCAACACCAATATTAGATTTCGGACTTAAAAAGTATGCGATAGAAAAACGAAGAGATCTGTGATTTAAAGCGATTAGTTTTATATTAACAGTGACATTGACAAAAATCATATGACGTTCAGAAATCTTTTTCATTGAGAAGTAAAATATCTTCTTCCTCTTCTGTTCTTTCCGCTGACGCTGAAAGCAGATCACATTGATCGATCCACTAAAATATTGTATTTTTTGTTGTGTGTGTGTGTGTTTTTGGTATCTTTGATTGTCCATTCTCTATCAACGTGTAGCGTGACAAAGCCAAATGATTGGTGCAGTAATGGATTAATCTCATAGAGCTGGTAGCCAGTGAAGATTACTCTTTCCCATTCAATTTATAAGTCGTTTTAGGTTTGGAGACTCGTTTTAGGTTTGGAGAGGTTTTTCAAAATATAGGTCATTTTACAAATTCTATGTAAATTAATGACTATTTTTCCAACTTTACCTTCAATAAATGATGTTAATCTATTTTCATTTAGTCTTGTTTATAATTCTAATGTAATTAATGAGGGGTAAAAGAGATATTTAACACATAAATTAATTGTTGAATGATTGTCTCATTAATTTACGTGTCAAGTCTAAAAAAATTTACATTTTGAAATGGAGAGAATATTTGGTAGTAATTAGTTTCGTAATGTTGGGAAATTGTCCCCACGTAAATTCCCAAAAGGTAGTGAGTGAAATAACTATATACGGCATTGCACCTCCACATTGGTTATGAAATCATCGGTTAAGAGAGCAGCATGATTCCCGAGGAAAATGTCCTCGTCTGTTGAAATTAGTTTAGTCTTGGTTACAATTTACAAATGAAGTATACAATTTTGGTTTTCAAGGAATTGTTTTTAAATCTATAACAATCAAATTTCACCAAAAAAGAAAAAAAAAAAAAAGAAGAAGAAATTGGCACCATCATGCGGGACTGTTAATATTTGCCACAAAGATACATGAAATTTATTCCATGTGATTTAAAATAATTGTTTCAATTTTTTTTATTTTTTTTGTAGTTTATATTAAATTAGAGATAATATTATCTTTCGTCTTTACATAAAAAAAAAGTTATTTTTATTAGCAAACAAGTCTATTATTGGTTTCTTGTTCATACTTACATTATTGCGATGACGAAACACTCAGACATTTTCTTTCATGTCCGGAAATAACAGCTACCATATTCTGGATAATAAGGGATATCATATTTCTCACTTCAAAAGAAATAAATTGCTAGTAGAAAATGGAATACTAACCAACCAGGCGTCCCACACACCTCAATCAAAATCAATAGGCCATCATGAGTATGATCGAAGAAAATGTGTTTTTCTTAGAATTTGAGAGGGCGACGATGGCGGAGGCGGCTAGGAGAAAATTGTGTGTTCATTGCTTAACATGGAGATTAACACTTTGGACTTTGGAGAGGATTTATATGTGGCTTAGGAAATACTATTCCTTCCGTTCCAAAATTATTGTTCAGTTTGAATTTTTATTTCTAGTTCAAATTGTACTAAAAATAAAATCCCAAAGTGGACAATAATTTTGGAACAGAATGAGTAATTGATTATTCAATTCCGCAAAGTAAATGTGTTTTCTTCACTATTCTTTCTTCTTCTTCTTTTTTCTTCTTCTTTTTCTTTTAGCTTCCTCGTCTGATCACTGATTTGATTAAATTTCTTCTCGCCGCGGCGTGATGCATGAATTCTCTCTACTGTTTGGCTCACGGCTCACTCACATTGCAACAACTCCACATCTAAATCCCTCATAAAGCATAAATAATTAACACTTAATTGGAAGGGTAACCCATTTAATTAACTTCCTGGTTGAGATGATAAGTACAGTCTATTTTAATTTGTCCATTTCTACTTAATTCATGACATGATTTGTTCAATCACCTCATTTCTACGTTATTCAAGGCTTGATTTGTTCAATCACCTCATGGACTTCGCCTTGTAAAATTGGGGCAATAAGAAAATGAAAAAGAAAAGAATACAATTATACAAAGGACACAATTGTTAATCTATCTATTTTTTAATAAGATAAGTTTTATTGTCAAAATTTGAATAAACGACACTATCATTTTGTGATGGAAAGAATATAAATTTGAAGGTGTTACTATAGCACCTCCAATTAATATCTGCTGCGAGATGATGTGAAAAATATTTCTCCATTTGCTAATCAGCTGGCAAGGGATTTTACTTTCTACCTGGTGTTAAAAACCATTACCCCTCTTAATCCAAATTTGAGTCGAATAATCAACCAAAAAAGTAAATCTTTCCTAGCAAATAGTATGTAAATCATTGATACATGCCACAATCATTCGCCCGACAACATTTTGGTTCTAATAAATAAAATAAACCAACTCGGTTTCCAATCTAATTTATATAACAAGTAACATCGATCCATTAGACACCGACAGGTGCAATATCCTAACCAATTATTTCCTGCCATCAAATCTTTTGCTGGGGTAGGATAAAAAGATTATTATTATATTTTTTCAATTCCTATGAACATCAATTATTATTACCATTATTTTGAGAAGAAATATCTGCATGCATGGGGCTAATCTATCAAGATCGTGATTCACAATGTTTCCAAAGGTCATAAGTTAATTTACTGTAAGAAAACATCCAGGAGAAGCTGCAAAGACAGTAACAGAGTCCAATCAACAACAATGGATACTAGTAGACTTGTGTACGGAAGTCTTCTCATTCAGCTACTGATCATTGTGCAGGTAAGTTCTTAAACTTAATTCATCATCGTTTATCTCCAAGTATATACTTGCATATCAATTTTCCCTCCAATTAAACACTCAATTTGGGTCATTTCGTCAACAATTTTTCAGGGAATTCATTTAAGTTGTGCCAGAGAAATTGATTCTAAGCAGAGTACTGATGTATTACGCCTTCATAGCATGGATCATGAGATTGAAGATCCTCAAGTGGAAGAAGAATTGCATACTCATTCTGATTCTGCTTCATCCCATATGATGATGATGATGCATCATAATATGGATCCATCCACAATTGTGTTCTTCCAGTTAGAAGATTTGAAGTTAGGCCAAAAAATTCCCATCTTTTTCCCAGACAGAGATCTTCCTTCTCCGTCTTCTCCATCTTCTTTACCAAAATCAGTAGCAGATTCCATCCCTTTTTCACTGAAACACCTTCCATATCTTCTCCAACGCTTCTCATTCTCAAAGGGATCACCCCAAGCCATAGCCATGGAAAACACACTAAGAGAATGCGAAACCGATCCCATCCAAGGAGAGACTAAACTCTGCGCCACTTCCTATGAATCCATGCTTGATTTTGCTACCAAAATCCTAGATTCTGAAAATGAAATCAAGCTTTTGTCCACTGTTTATCTCACAAAGCCTAATAATGGAGTTCAAGAATACACAATCATTGAAGATCCGTTTCCAATTCAAGCTCAAAAAATGGTGGCTTGCCATACAATGCCTTATCCTTATACAGTTTTCTACTGTCATTATCAGAGGAGTGAGAGCCGGGTTTTTAAGGTTTCTCTCAATGGTGATGAAGAAGGTAATAACAACAGGGTTGAAGCTTTAGCTGTTTGCCACATGGATACTTCTCAATGGAACCCTAATCACATTTCATTCCAAGTGCTCAGAACAAAACCAGGGGAATCCCCTGTTTGCCATTTCTTCCCCGCAGATAACTTTGTTTTGGTTTCAGTTCCATCTGCTTCCTCAATCTAGTAGTCCGGTATATTTTGCTGGAAAGGTTATTGTATTTGGTTAGTCAATCCTCTTGCTGCAAAGCCTTTGTTAATCCAAAAGTGTGCAAGTAGCAGAGGTTATTACTGTTTGTTGAATAAACATTGGTTTTGGGTGTTTATACTTGATAGTGTATAGATATATCATGCAGAGCAATGATATTGCTAGTGAAAAATTATAGTGAATTTGGATATTGACAAATAAAAAGACAAATGTACCACGCACTTACTAAACATGTCTAGTTATTAATCGAGGTAAAAATATAATTTTTGGAAAATAAAAATAAAACTTCAATGGAAAAGTGACAAAAAACTAAGGGACATGATTAATCCACATAAGTCACTATATTTTGTCACTATTTTTATTCATATATATATATATATCATTTTCCGATCATGTAAGCCTTTGATTACTGAGGCTAGACTTTGAATTAATGTTGTTTGGAATTTTGATGCCAACATCAAAGTCTACTTTTACAAATGAGGATGAAATGCAAGTTAAGATTAATTTATTGGAAGGGGAAAGCTAAGATATCAAACTAAGTGAAATTGACAATGGTTGATCTCTGCAATTTTATCATTATAATAGATGAAAACCTTATTAAATTTTAATAATTAACAACGTAAACCAACGTCTTACTTATTTCATTTCACATTTTTCTCCGAACAACACATACGAACATTTAAGCCGGAGGTATAAAAATTCTCAAACAAAAAAATAAAATACAAATAAGATTAATCGCGCAAGCAGCGACATTATTGTTCAACAAATTTAGCCCGCAGAAGCGTCGACCTGGAAACCTGTTGGCTGTGCGACTTGGGAGGGACGACGGAGAATTTGGGCTTCAGCTGATAACCAGTTATCAACCCAAAAGAATAGATTTGGGCCCATTATCTTCCCCCACTAGCCTTTTATCATACTCCCCCCGTCCCATAATTATTGTCCACTTTGTCCAAAAAATTTTATTCCAAAATTATTGTCCAATTTGACTTTTTATGGATCAAGTTACACATTTATCCTTAGTAAAAAACATTATCTATAAAATCTTAGTAGTTAAACAATTACTTATGTAGGAGTATATCCGGTTGTTTAAGGTAAAATATAGTTAAGTTTGACCAAAAATAAAATCTTTCATTTTAGTAAAATTGGACAATAATTATGGGACGGAGGGAGTATTTATTATTAATACCTAGGTTGCGCCATATGATAGTACTACTAATATAAGTTAGTAACAAAATAAGGCTGATATAACTCTTCGATATTCATTTAGTACCACTTGAACCCACAATCTATTAATAAAAAACGTGAGCCTCCATTTGTTTTGTCCACGGAAATCTTTTTTTTTTTTATTACATATTGCATGGTGTCTACCGTCAATAATAATGACTAATCCGACATCTCAATGGGTGGTAGAGTTGGCCAAAAAATTTAAAATATCTATGGCAAATTTCGAACCCTTAACCTATGGTTAAAGGTCAAGGAATCCACGAAATCATTTAGTTATGAAAGGTTTACAACTTTGCATATCGACGGAGCTCATCAAAATCAAATTCGATTGATAGTGATTGGTGGCATTCGAATAGTCTACACACCATTGTGGTATCTCGTTCGTAACCATTTTCTTAGCTGTTTTGTAAGCATGTTGTGCTTAAAGATAACACATGATTGAGTGGATAAGTTAGGTTATTTATTTCTTAGGCTAGCTTGTTAATTAAATCGTTTCTATTGTACCAAAACTAAATATACTACATAAAAGTTCCTACTGTTTACAAATTAAACATATATACCACATCATGTCGCAATACAAAGACCATCTGGAATGGAAGGCATGCCGGAAATAAATAAAGTTAATAGGGATATACAACCATATATCTCCTCGCTATGTATATACCTTTATCGGAGAAAAATGTTTAATTTTGAAGAGATCGATGTCACTTTTATGTTCGATACACAATTAGATAAGCACAAAACCATGATGCTCTTATTTGATTATCGAATTACACTCTATGACAGATAAAAGACATAAAACTAAGAAATTTATTAATTCTCATGTTCAGTTGATTCTCGATTTAGTACGTAACATGAATTAATTGATGCATGCCATGACTTGGATAATGCAATTGGTGGAAATTTCAAGATTAAGAAATTTGTCTACAAATGGCGAATGTACTTTCAAGACTAAAGACCAAAATATTGGTTAAGTACTAGCGTATACATCAATTGTGTTGCCGACCCTTAAATTTCTATGTCTAATTCTGGGGAAGATATTGCAACACTTTCAAGTGGAAAGTTGGAAATGGAGTTTTGCTCATGAGATGGTATAACACAACCAAAAAAAAAAAAAAACTATGGATCAGCAGTTCAGCACCATTGGCAAACATAGATGATTTTCAAACCAGAAGGGTTCTTGGATGATTCCTGAAGCATACGTAGAACTGGATGGTTTTTTCTAAAGAAAAACGATGAAGATGAAGATGAATGTCGAAATGGAGTAGCATAAACGAAGCTCGAAGCTGGAACCAGAAGATATGTACTCCCTCTGTCCCAAAATTATTGTCCAGTTTGAGATTTTACTTTTAGTACAATTTGAACTACAAAAGAAAATCCAAATTGGACAATAATTATGGGACGGAAGGAGTATATCGAAAGTTCTTTACTGAACAAAGGTCAAGGAATTGTACCACCGATAACTCCATACAATAATGAGAATGAATGTAGTCTATACCAACAATCAAAGGGAGGGACGTTTATTACTACTCTCTCTCCGTCTCAAAAGTGATAGAAAGATAATAAGCAACCCAAATGCAAGAGAAGCACAATTTCATATCTCTGAATTCCAGTAGGTACATAAACAACTCAAAAAATCACAATAATCTGTTTCCACAGTTTTATCAGAAACTGAATGAAGCATTATTGATTTTAGACATGCAGTTTTATCAGAATTTAAACCAATAGCAAAGCATTGAATCACATGCTTTTTCTAGGGCTTGTAGAAAAATCCACTCTATATTTATATGGCATATTTTCCCAAAAGTTGCTAGGAAAAAAAAAGAAAAAAAGAGATAGAGAGAGTACTGCAAATTTTTCTACTATTTTTCTTCCTTGATCATCCATATATATCATCGGTTACATGTTGGTCTTCGTTTATGTTCTTCTTTTGCAATATGCAAGAACAAAGAAAAAGAAAAACAGCACTTACCAATTATCATCAAACATGTATAAAATTAAAACCCCTGAAGGGAAAACTTTTTAGGCATAAATTAAATACAATCTACAAGCTGACAAAAGGCAGATGGAAGAATCTAGCGAAAGAAAAAATCGATGATCACTGATAAAAATAAACAAGGTGATCTGAATGTTGAACAAAAACCCAAGAAACATGGCAAGCTAGCAGTTTCTTGATTCCATCATCTAAGAGACTAGATCCTAAGTATACAACATATTAAACCTACACTAAATGATAAAATCTAGCTAGTTAACAATCACATAATAACGTATATAATCCAAACTTGCCTCTATTTTTTTTTTTTTTTTATAATTACAAATCCTGTGCCAATTGCTCCACATGGTCTACAGTTCTACACACGCAAGTGGGATACAAAAATAATGCAAAACTCGTGCTTCCTCACCTTAATTTCTTCTTTTCCTCTTCATCATCCATGTTGACTCCCTCATCTCCCTAATTAATAATAACGTTCTTGTGGTAAATTATTACATTATTCGCAGTGTCGAAATTCGTCAGGAAATAGTGTTTGGACGGCAGGTGATACTGCTCCGTCCTGCCAGCCTCCCGGTGGTGATCGGAATCCGCATGATGATCATCTTCCCGGATGAGATCTTTAACTGCTTTAGGCATCGGTTGTTCTTGCATAACCTTCTTCCAGTATTCTTCTTGCCGCGTTCTTGCCTCACAAACTTGTACAAACTGAAGATCAAAACATTGGAAAAAAGAAAAATAAATAAATAAATAATCAACACAACTTTATATAGAGAGCCATAACAACTATATATATATATATATATATATATCACGAAAGCTGTATTTGTGTAAATTAAATTTAATTAATTACCGAAACAAGAGAGAGGATCAGGAAGATGGATAATATGACAGATGGTCTCATGATGTTGGTTTTGAACTGAAACTGAGTTCTTGAAGACTTCATGTGTATGTTTTGAGCTGTAGGTTTTAATGGAAGTCCTAAAAGTTATAAGTTGGAATTCAGAAGAAAGAAGAAGAAGAAGAAGAAATTGTGACGATGAACCTCTGACTTTTGGATTTATACTCTGAGATATTGGACCGCCCCCCTTTGGATTTGTGTAAACTTTGACTATTAATATTAAATATATTTGAAGTTTCAAACCTGTTTGATCATTTTGTTGTTGTTTACGTAAATGATAAATCAGCAAAAATTGACAGCTTTGTAGTAATTAAATATAGGGTTAATTGCGAGATTACACCCAGTGGAAGCTTAATCATTACGTAATGCTAATGCATGAGATACGTGCATTGTTTCACCCTCCCTACCCCCCCCCCCATTCTTCGAGAAAAAGAAGAAGAGATCACATATCATACTTAAACTCGCTCACCTGAATGAACTTAGAGAACATTTATAAGCTATCCTTAATTCTAGTTTCTAAGTAACGTTACTTTTGAGTTCTCATATTTTTAGGTACTTGTAGTTGTTCTTAGAAGAAAATATTCAAATAACTTGACACTTTTAGTTCCTCAAGTTGTTTTTTTTTTTTTGAAAAGGGTTCCTCAAGTTGTTGAATATTATTACGATCTTAAGTCGAAACGAAAATGTTTTGAGCCAAAAAAATTTGTTTAAAATTAATTAAATATGTGATTTTCGTTTCATTCGTTGGCTTGCAGTGATCATGCTAACATGTTCCCCACCGCAAAATTTGGATACAAAACGGTGGAAGAAAAATACTAATATTTGCTGATGGTCAACGCCTAATTGCAATCTTTATTGCAAAAATCCTTGGATCGTTCTGGCTATGTTTGTCAATTAATTATAAGAGAAGAAAACGATATCGCACGTAGTAGTTAATTCCACCAAGTACTTGTCTGGTACCAGATCAAGGTGTGACAATTCTTTTCATTTTTTGTTTGCAGATTGCAAGTATTCATTCAATAATGAACTAGTCGTTTTGTTCAATCATAAACACTGTAACAAAGAGGTGAAAAATAAGAGGATTTTTTTTGTTTTATTATTTGAATCAAATATGATTAACAACTTCAAAAAGACATCATACTATAATTTTGCATTTAGATTCTCACTTTATATTTTCCTCTCCCTTTATGTTTAAGCCCTCTCCTCCACTCTTTTTTTTTTTTTTTTTTTTTATAACGGGATTCATGAGATAATTCCTAAATATATAAACACTTGCTATATATACACTTAAACTGATTTTAATTAGTTGGTATAATAGTAACTAGATGCTTGGCCCAGGCAGATGTCCGGGCGCCCCTTCTACTTTAATTTTGTGTTAATAGATAAATGAATTTTTTATTTGGAAAAAATAAAATAGCTACACATTTATTTTTTCCTTTTTTAGCCAAAAATAAAAATAAAAAAAAAATCATCTGCAAAAGAAGAAAAAAATATTAAAAAGTACACCGATGCAGAAATCATACAAAAGAATGTGAATTAATAAAAGGGATAAGTTTATGGACAAATTTAAATCCTATCTTAATTTGATTGATAAATGACAAGTGTTATGAGTTAAAATTGTGTAGATATTTTTGTAAATTAGCTTTTGTTTTTCTGAATAAGAAGTTTTTTTTTCTTTTAAAAAAGGATGACAAGTGACAGAATGATTAAAGCAATATGGTGCATTTGGAGCCAAATTTTTTTAATAAAAGTTGCCACATCAACATTCTGTATTCTGCTTTAATAGGGTAAAAGGGATAGCCTAGCTAGTCCACCAAGTTGCCTTCCGCCCTTCCCTGCTCTTCTTGTTTTTTTTTTTTTTTTTGTTTGCATACTAAATTTTAAGAATAGTAGGTGAAATAGCCTTTTTATATATTTAAATAATTACTTAGCTCTATGTTCTAACAACTAATAAGTCAACCGGATAATAATAAAATTTTTGAATTTAAGAATTTTATCAAATACTATCTTGAAGAAATTGAATATTCATAAATTAGCGGAATCCCAGCACCCTCTTGTCAATAGTACACAACGGTCACCTAAATTGAGTAATCCACGCCGGCATTTCAATTGATCTTTAATATTTACTAGATGTTAGACCCGTCCGATGGACGGGGAGTACATATACATAGATATTACTATACAAACAAATCAAAAAAATGTTAATATTTGTATAGATTTTTGTATTTTTATAAAATATATAATGAATTCATTGAAAAATATAAAACACAAACATCGACAGCACTTTACCAAACGAATACACTGGTAATTTATTTAACGCAAAAAAGATTGTTAAGAAATTAAAAAAAAATGAACTTTGAATTAAATAATTATATATTTTACAATATTTCTTGGTAGACTATATTGGTAGTCCGGGATGGAAATGTTTGCTAGAGTGGTTAAGAGATTATGATAAGGAATTTTTTTTTTTTTTGAAAAGGTTTACGATAAGGAATGATTACTACAGAAACAACAACCCTAACCTATTGTAGAGGCCATCCAATTTTTTAATAAGAAAAATAAAAAAAAAAGTTTGGATATGAGGATGTTTTTCTAAAAATTTAGATTTCAAAACATTAAAAAAAATGAATAAAGAATAGCCATAATTGAAGCCTTTTAATATTTTTATTCTTTGCCAGAGCCATTCTTAGCCCCGCTACATCAACCCATCAACATAGTATTATAACTCAATTCCATATTTGAAGCTAAATTATAGAAGTTTCAGGTTGGCCTAACTTCTTTAATTATTTTAATAAATTATTAATATAAAATTCTTTTTTCAGTTACGTTTTTTTAGGAGGAAGAGATCCGTCCATCGGATTTGTAAGGGATTTAGTCGAATCAATATAGAGTTTGAATTTTTTCAGTTGCGTTTTTTTTTTTTTTTTGGTTTTTATTGTTTTATTTTGTGCATTTTTATATCTAGAAAATTAAGAAAATGCCACATAGGATAAAATTCTATATGACATGTGCTCCTTGACTTTAGATTCCGCTCTCTGGTTTTTATCTTAGTGTAGTATATAGATTTCTTTATCCATTGTTTTTTAATTCATTCATTTTGTGAACATATAATTTATAAACCTAACTATAACTTACTTTATTGTTCTAATTTAACAATAAGTTTTGTTAAGATTGAACAGAAAAAGTATTTGCTCCCACAATTTGCAACTTGGAGCTAGACATAGAATGCAAACATACGAAACAAAAATCCATCTTAAATTTATGTCTGAATATTGTTCTATTCATTTGATTTGATTTGGCCGTAGCAGTGATAATGGTTCTTCCGATTTTATGTTTTTTTTTTCTATTTTTCAAAATAGAAATTGTAATGTTCTTAAGTTCTTTTCTTTTTCCAGTTTTGAACCTCCAATAAAATTTAAATAATGTTATCGATTAGGAATTTAAATAGAGCATGTTCGGACTTTTCAAAAATTAAAAAAAGAAAGTTATTTTCTTTCATTTCTTTGTATTATCTTTTTTTTTTTGGTTAATACTTATCTTTATTATCTTCAATATCGTATCTAAGGTGGATTCTGTACGTATAACAAAACAGGAAACTACAGCTGATAATTCCTACTCCAACCTACTGTGCTCCTATTATTTAGTAATTTCTATTTTCTACCATTATTTTGTTCTTAACTAGAAGAACTTGCTGCTTGTGTTAGCTGGTGGTTACCCACAGATTATGTGGAGGGATTTGTGGGCTAGTTATTTGTTGACTTCATTATGGATTTTTCTCTTCCATTACACTTACAGACCCAATCAAATAGACTTCTTGTACGTCCTGAGTCCCTGACAAGTGTGCTACCACTTTTAGTTGACCTATTGTTAATCCTGATTATTAAAATAAAGTCAAACCTCAAACCAAGTACTACGTGAATTTATCATACCATTAATTGATATAATTTTGAACGCAAAAAAGTACATGTAGAGATGATCATTTAAAAAAAATATTTTAAAAAAAACTCTAATCAACCCACAAAGTGTCGCTCTGTTAAATTTAACCCCGATCTGTCATCTTATTTTCTTATGCAGTTTGTTTTCTTTTTCTTTTTTTAACCCAAGAAATAGAAGAAAAAATGGCTAGGGAACTAAGGTGTTGACGGATTAATTAATTAATTAACCAAAATAGTGTTAGATTCGAGTTGACTCTAATTAGGAATATGAAGATGAAAATATGACATAGAAGCCATGTCGGGAGGTGTGGCCAGTGGCCGTGTCTATTCGGGGTCATTTGAGGTGGACTTTGGTGTGACCATATATCACATCATCAACATTTTTTTTTATAAATAAACTAAGTAACTACTCAAATTAAGATGAAGTATACAATTACTCTCAATAATTAAACTAAAGAAAATCAATTTCCATACGAATAATTATTAGTTAAACCGTGCATATGTAACTGTTTATGAGTCAGATATGGTTATCTAGGAGAAATGTCAAAGACTTCGTGTCACAAAGCCAGTTATATTTTGATATTCTTATTTATGCTAGAGAACTAATCGATCCAATAGCTCATCATCCACACGTAACTTATCTTTAACAAGATTTCGTGTCCATTCCTTTTTTTTTTCAAAAAAAAAAAAAAATGGATTACATTGTTAACTTACTAGAATACAGAACAAACAAATTTAACACCGATTAGGTAGTTCTATTTCTGCAACTTAAATTTAAAAGCCCCACTAGACTAAAGTAATAAAATACTTTCTCTCTCCTGGAAAATTAATCCACATTGTAAATTGTACATTGTAGTAACAACAATAATGCGTATAATTTTTAATTTACAATGTGGGTTATTTTTGTATGAGAGAGAGCTGATATCAGGCAAATATATTAATTCATTAATCAAAAGAATAATGTAGAAATAGATTTTGTGAAAGTGCAACTTTTTGTTTTCCATTTATTGCTGCCACAATTCTTGATATAATCTTCCATCAGGACTTAATTCGATGATCATGGGAGAGCTATGTATATATGAAGTCACTCTCATAAAATCTCAAATATTAGAAGAAATGTAACAAACACATCTATGAGCAAGTTGTAACTAGTAGTATATCTAATTAGCTAGTCGGTAAAAAGAACAAGAGATTTTGACCATGCACGATATTGTGAATTCAAACATAGAACAACTTCAAATTTTTTACATGATATTTTATTCCTCGAATTGTCTATAATTTAACGAGAGATGGTTTTTTTGGTGACGGTAGCCAGGCATCATGCAAATATGAAAAATAAATAAATAAATATGTTTTGGAAGCGGCTGATTGTAGGGCTCTTGGCAATCAATTTTATGAAGAAACAGATAAGCCGGACTTCTATTATACAATTGGCCACTGGTATCATGCAACTTTTTGAGTTGCTTGCGAGGCGTTCAATGAAAATGCATGGAACAACTCCAAGTTGGGTGTATATGTAATTGCGACTTTTGAAAGCTAGATTTTGATCATCTCATGATAGTGTTTTCGTGGTTATCCACTACGTAACAGCAACATTAATTTTTCCAGGAACTTAAATAATCAAAGTATTTTTCAAATTTGGTTGGTTGAATGTACGTAGTAATTGTAATATTATGAAGGTTGACCGCCATATAATGAAAAAGAAAGACGTAGATTAGATAAGGCTAAGTTACTCTGGGACAACTTTTTATTACGTTTTATAAATTTTAAAATTTTGTTTAAAAAAAAAACAAAAACAAAAAGGTTTACTTCCTTTGTCTTAATTACAAGAATAGCGAGCTTCTGACTTCTCAATCAGCAAATTGACAGAGTTAGATATTTTAACATTCAAGAGTCAAGACCATAGACGTTTTCATTTTCATTATTCATTATCTGTAATGACACCAATCTCATACGATCGATATCCCCGACATGAAGATTTAACTCGCAAGATGGCAAAACAAATGAAAAAAATCCCGCATATTCGTGGTCGATTGAGTCTGTACCTTGCGAGTTGCTAAATACTCCATCTGTTTCAAAATTATTGTCTAGTTTGATATTTCACTTTTAGTACAATTTGAACTAGAAATGAAAACTCAAACTAGACAATAATTATGGAACGGATGTGGTGTAATAAAAAAGAGTTTCTTTTGCTCCTTCTTCCTATTTTCTTATAATACTTCTTCTTTTCTTTTTTTTTTTTTTTTTTTTTTTTTGACGCGATTCTGACGAGCAAATCTCAAACTCGCAACTTGTTAAGAGGTTGATTGATTATTGCCACTTGGAAAGTTGCATTATTCTCTTTGAGAAGTTAAAAGAAACCATAGAAATGATCGATCGAGCAAGTATACAAGTCTGAAGTTTGCTCTTAAGAATTTGTTTACTCTGAAATTAATAAATCGGTCTATTATTGAGACAACTATTGGTCTAGATTAATGTGTGCTTTCTCAAATTTACAATCCGCATGTAGTCTCCTTGGATGTTTTGTTTGATAGAATTAATCGATTTTAGTAGAATATATAGAAAACTTGAATACAAAAAGATTTGTATTGATTGCATTGAGCAGAAGTGGAGGGAAAAATCCGCGTTGTCCCGACTCAATAGATAACCAAAAAAAGAAAGTTTTAAGGGAAAAAAATAACATAGAATATTACATTGCTTAAACAGAGTATCTCTCTCTCAAAAATGATTATCTAGGGACTTTTTTTTTTCTCCCTTGGGAAAGGATCAAATTGGTTCTGCCACGACAAGAAAATGTCTCCCGTTTGATTTTTTGTGTTGTCTATAATGGCACCAAAAAACAAAAATAAAAAACAAAAACAAAAAAAACCTCAGAAATATTTCCACAACAATTAAACAAACTACAATATTCGTTTTAAAAATATGCCTAAAGAAAATACTAGCTAGTTTTTTTGTTTTTTTTCACTACCTACAACTATCATATGCCTATAGGTTGGATCAGTCTCATGTTCGATTCATTTCCTAATTAGTTAGAGCATTCTGACAGCTGAATCATTACATGGATCGAATATAGAGTTGACTCTAACCCAAACGTAAAAATAGTATTTGACTTTTTAAAGTAATTAAACAATCAAGTTGGTTGTGTCTGCCCTCTGGTGTAACATGGTGGATTTCTGAATTTGGGGCGTAATTGGAGATTAATTCGTTTAGGGCTTCATCGATCATGCATTAGATCCAACTAATTTCTACTTGCACAAACAATTTCTTTTGCCAAAAAAAGGGTCCATAAATATAAATGTATGATTTTTTAAAGTATTATTATACATTCCAAAGTTGTTCTCGACTTCTCGATAATAGAGTCATGACATACACTCAATTTGTTAAACGTATTACTGACATGGTTGGCGGTATATATACCTATACCTCTGAAAGCCAATAATTTGGTAATTATTGTAGACTTGTGTACCTAGTTATGCTTAACATTAAAAATTTAAATCGAATAATTATTTTGACAACAAATAATAATATCAGTTGCAACCAAATTAATTTTGCCTGCTGCCGTCCAAGACTCCAAGGGATCTTTTTCTGATATGGGGAGATTCTTTTGGGCCCTAATGTCCGAAAATTGGTTCCAGACATGTTTTAGTTAATTGTTCCAGTTGTCTCCATACCATGGTCAACTCTCAACTCTATAGGACCTCCATGAAATCACTAGTTTAGTAGTTTTATACATATATATTAAAAAGAAAACTTATCAAACTTATTTTTAAATTGCGTACCATGCATGACAGGTTCATGCATACTCGTTCGACCGATTGATCGATCCATATCCGTGCAGATTGTCCTTTAATGTTTTTTATATCATTGAGATTAATTTGCTCCAAAAAGTCAAAACATTTTTCGTTATCTCTCGTATTTTTTATAAACAATCAAAATTATAATACTCTATTTATCAAAAATAAAATTATATTGAATTTTAAAATTTGTACTATTTCATAACTCGATGTGAACTATTTTTTATAATATACAGAGTAATACATAAATAACTGATTCATTTGCTTAAGTAGACTTTTCAATTCTTAGTTTCTTTTTTTTTTTTAAGTAAATATTACATACGTCCGGTGAACCCACGGCAACCACGAATCCGGATTCAATCCTTGGAATTTAGGTCATTGATAAGTAGTAATAAATGTATTTTACTAAATGATGACCAAGATAAAATGCCTACCGGTAGGCTGGAGAGTGTGCTACGTGTAGGTTGGTTAATTTAGTAAAAACATTTTTCTGCTCCTTAATTAATAGGCAAAAAAAAAAAAAAAAGAAATGACAGTGATTTGATCATCATAATAGAGTTGCGAAAAAATTAATAAGGTCTGGAAGTTGATTGGTTGGTTTGGATTTGAACTGAAAGAGTCCTTCACCGCTCAGAACTAGATTTTCAATTGGATTGATGTCTCTTGGAACATTTTACCGCCAAAAGATTTACTAACACTTTTTATGTACACTCCGTGTGACATTATTTAAATACTATAAAAATAAAATAAAATACTGCCTTTCATGATCATCAGCATATACTTCCCAAAAGTCAAAGGTTTATCAGTGCTGTTTAAGCCCTTCAAAAGTTTCAAATCTGGAAAACACTGTCTCGAAGTCCAAAGAGAGAGAGAGAGGAGGAAACCAGCAAGCCCTTCTTCTATCTTTCTTCAACTAAACAGCAGAAATGAGCTCTTCTGGACTGCACCGATGCAGGCTGTTCTTGATGGCTGTATTAATCATCGTGCAGGTAATTTTTTTTTTTTTGCGTAAGTACTTAATTAATTAATCACCATGCAATATCAAACTTATCACTTATGCATCAAAAGTTCCAGTGTGTGTGTGTGTGTGTGTGTGTACTTCCGTCTTCAATTGCATAATCATGGTTATAATTTAAACTTGAAAATTGAAACTTGATTCATCCTTCTTTGTAGCTATGTATGGAACAAATTTCTGCATTGATTTTAAGAGAATATGGTATGTTATTGAACATCAAAAAATTCCCCTGAATTGCCTTTTCTTGCATGATCTTCAGGGTGTCTGTATCTGTAAAGCAAGGCAGATTCCCGAACGACACAAAAATGGCAGTCAACAAAACCATGAAGATCAGATTCAGATGGATTCATCTTCATCAACATCCTCGTATCACCATGTAGATCTTGCAGCCCATGTTTTCTTCCTTGATAAAGATCTCAAATTCGGGAACAGAATTCCAGTCTACTTCACCATCAAGGACCCTTCCAGGAGACCACCTCTGCTTCCTAGAGAAGAAGCCGATTCCATCCCTTTTTCATCCTCAAAACTACCTCATCTCATAGATCTCTTATCAATATCCCAACATTCCCCACAAGCTGAAGCAATGAAAAGTACTCTGTCCCATTGCGAATTCGAACCACTGAAAACAGAGACCAAATTCTGCGCAACTTCTCTGGAATCCATGCTCGATTCGGCCCGTGATCTTTTCGGGTCAGGGACGCCGTTTGAAATCCTAACCACAAACCATTTGGCAAACAAAACATCCAGCATTTTGCAGAACTACACAATTGTGGAAGAACCAAAAGTTATTGTGGCTCCAAAGATGCTGGCTTGTCATACTCTGCCTTATCCTTATGCGGTTTTTTACTGCCATTGCCAAAAAAGTGATAACAATCTGTACAGGCTAATGCTTGTTGGTGATGATGGAGACAGAACTGATGCGATTGCTATTTGTCACATGGATACCTCGGAGTGGGATCCGAATCATGTTGCGTTTAAGGTTCTGAAAACTGTTCCCGGGCAATCTCCTGTTTGTCATTTCTTCCCGGCTGATAATCTTGTTTGGGTTGCATCTGCTGCTCTGCATAATGAATAGAGGAAGGATTTGTTGATCTTGCATTTTGCTCACCCTGATGTATATATATCTCATATATGGGCTACTGTATTCCTAGATTTCTCTCAAAGAAAATTGAAGGATTTGGTATCTCTTTTTGGTGAGAATGAATTACCAACATGTTTGTTTTCGTTTTACTTCTCGCAGCGGTTGAGTATTTTTTTGGCCGACTCCTCAAAAATATATACTCTCACTTATACGTTATTCTATCCCTTGGGGGCTAGGACATTTACCTTTTCTGAATATCCTAAAATTTGATCTCATGTTTATGGAGAGTTTCGCCGCGGATGGTTTGACGGTTAGGGCTGGTCATTTTGAACCGCGGTTCGAGTCAACCCGATGATCTGAACTGATCCGAATTAAAATTTCGGTTTGTATCGGTTCGAATTGAAAATTTTAAATATTGGAATGGTTCAGATCGGTTCGGGTCAAAAGAATATCCAGATTAAACCGAAAAAATCCAAAACCAAAAAGTAAATAATTATATTTTAATAATGACGTCGTTGACCACCGCTACCACCTTTGACCACCGCCGCCGATCGCCGTCGGTGACAACTTCCGGCCAAAATTCCGGCGACCTTGCCGGAAATTTATTTTCCCCGGCGGCCGGTGACCGTCTCCGGCGTGATGACGTCATCGTCACTTTTGATGATGTCATCACTAGTAAAATTGTTCATTTTAGGTCAATTTGGTTTAGACCCGTAACCCGAACCGAACCGAAACTATTTGTGATCCAAAAGAAGTTGACCCGTTTTCGAACCGAACTAAAATAACAGATTGATTCGATTCAGGTCGATTTTTTCCAAAAAAACAGCCTTATTGACGGTTATTGTCTCACAGAGTTCGAGAAATTTTTAACATCTGCCGGTATTACTCTTAAAATTAGACACACAACATAATCAGTATATTCTATCATGTTTAATTTCTTGTAATTAGACTTTGTCTCTCTCATTACACCTAAAAACTAAATGTGAACCATAACATAATCCATTATGGAAGATCGGAAGTTCATAAGGCATAAAAATATCTTACCTAGATTTAGCAAAAATCAAAGAAGAAATAATGTGCTTCAATTGTCCACTTCTTATTCGCGGACGATATGTACTTTGATAGTTTGATATACGAAAAGCTTTCGAGACACTATAATAATTCCACCGCCGAGATTGAAAATTACGTGCGAAACTTCTTTTATGAAGTCAAAAATGTGTTAAGTCCATTGTGGTATTTGACACAATAATCTTCTTGTGCAACTATACATCAAAACTCAAAAGAAAGCTCATTTATGTGGAGGACGATTTTAATTAAGGACAAAATGCACTTTTGGTCCCCTAACTTTGGGATAGTAAGCTTAAGTCACTATGTATTTTCAATTGGTAAAAATAGTCCCATAAAATATTTATTTCCTCAATTTTGGTCAATTTAACAAAAAAATTTAGTCAACTAACGGTCAATCCCTTTCCTCCGTTAATTTTTTATTTTTTATTATTTTCTCCCTAATTGCAGGGCCCACAAACTCTAATTAGCAAAAAAAATTCATTTTCTTTTTTTAGCAAAAAAACTCTAATTAGCAAAAAAATCCTAATTGCAGAGGAAATTCCCACTCACTTCTTCACTTTGGAGTTCTGTTTATTTCGGAACTAAAAAAAGAAAATGAATTTTTTTTTGCTAATTAGAGTTTGTGGGCCCCGCAATTAGGAAGAAAATAATAAAAAATAAAAAATTAACGGAGGAAAAGGATTGATGTTAGTTGACTAAAATTTCTGTTAAATTAACAAAAATTAAGGGAACAAATATTTTAAGGGACTATTTTTATCAATTGAAAATATATGGTGACTCGAACTTGCTATCTCCCGAAGCTGGGGGACCAAAAATGCATTTTATCCTTTAATTAATCCGTTCCTCCAACATAGTCAGTAGTGGAAAACCTTAATTGATGATTTGAACTTCTCTCAAATTATTATATTTTCTCAGTCTCAAGAAAAAGTAATCCACATTATAATTTGTAATTCACACTAATGTTTGTACAAATTAATAAACTATCACGTGGACTTTTTGAGCTAGACGGTGTCATAAATAACTAAGAAGAGTAAAATTCTTTAAAAAGAAATGCAAACAAAGTGCTTGGTCTTTAATTTTTTTTAAAACACAAGAACAAGTCGACGCAATTATTTTTGCAGAAGTGAAGTTGTAATAGCAAAACACTGAAACAGGCTACAACGTCGACCTATATCTGTCGACGTCACTTGCTTTACTAGACAAGAACATCCGACTCTGGAAGATAGATTAGTCCTCGGACTCTCCTAATTCGCACAGACGCCCAAATCTTTTTCATTTTGAAGTCCAAAAATCTAAAATCCCCTTTTCCACCTTGCACCACTTCATACCCCAGCACAACAATGGTGGCTTCAACAATTGCATCGCCATTGAACTTGCCGAAAGTATCTTATCCATGGCGAACTCCCTCATCCGTATCGTCATCTTCCTGTAATTTCAGGTACTGTACCTATTAGTTTCTGAAGTGCATATCCCGCACCAATTAGCATCCGTTTTTGTTTAAACCCAATTTGCCTATTATTATTGTTTGACAGGAATCAAAAGTTTCCAACAGTTTCCGCGTCGTCAAACCCATACGGAGATTTTTCAGCAAATGGTAAGGTTCATATGTTCAATTGATAATGAATTTTGAGTTCTTTTTTTAAAAAAAAGAAAAAAGAAAAAAGAAAACACGTTCACTGAGATTCCTAATTGTTCTGTATTGTTTTGAGCAATTAGCGTCTATGTATTGTATGAGCTATGGCAATTCGGGAATTGAGTTCTGTTTGGCTACGTTGGGATTTGGCAGGGTTATCCAGTAAAGCCAACAGATTATTGTTAAAGCATGACCAAAAAGATACTCGGGCTCTTTCTAATCCCAGGTTAGTTGTCTTTTTCTAATTTCTCTTACAAGTAATATTTCTATATTTCAGTTTGTCCATGTTTATGCCAGTACTAGTATGCATTTGTTCTTCATTTGCGGAAAATTAATAGTAAAAGTTAGAACATTAGCTTCAGTTTTGCATCGCTTTTATGCTGATAGTTCTTTATCACTACTAGGATGTTGCTTGGAATCCATTATTTTAACCGGATTATGATCTTGTCCGTTGTTCCAGAACCAGTTCTTTTGTTAAACTATTATTGAAATTTGTGCTAGAAATATGTGTCTTAAAATTTTTTTAAAAAATGAAATTGGATTCAAAATTGAGAACCATGATGAGCATCTCAGTAGCTAATTATTGTGCTTGTGTATACGGAGCTAATTTACGAAAGACTTTTTGAATTTAAAAGCATTGTTCATTGCGCATTCTGAAAATGCCAAGCATGTTCGCTCACGTATTTATTATTTTTTCAATGAATCTGGTTAGTTAGTCTTTTTGATCTCCCAGTGTGTACGATTGTACTATTCTCTATTTACTAACCAGAGGCACAAAGTGAGTTTAGTTCCATGATGGTTGATTGTTTTGTATTTGAGGCAATTAGGAAATTTGTTGTTAGATTTTGTGCTTATCTGTAACCTCGGGTTTCTGGGCAGTGTTATTTGAACTTTCTTCTTTCCTACAGCTATGGTGTCATAGAAGCCAGAAAGGGGAATCCACCAATCATGCCTGCTGTGATGACACCAGGGGGGCCATTGGATCTTTCTACTGTGTTATTTAGAAACCGAATTATATTTATTGGTCAGCCAATTAACTCACAAGTTGCACAACGAGTTATATCACAGCTTGTTACTCTGGCCACTATTGATGAGAATGCTGATATATTGGTAATTTTGCATTACATGATAATATTGTGTTTAGATGTTTCAACTATAAAACTATTAGCTGACAGATTTTCTGGTGCTTTTACTATATGGCAGATATACCTGAACTGCCCAGGAGGAAGTACCTACTCTGTCTTGGCAATCTATGATTGTATGTCATGGGTAAGCATAAACTTCGTTTTATTTGAGCTTTTTTCATGTCTTGATTTCCAATTGAAGTTTTTGCAGTCCACTCATTGCTTCTATCTCACATTTTTGTTAACATATCTCTGATTTTATCTTCCTTGCTATTGTTACGACTCAGATAAAGCCCAAGGTTGGGACTGTCTGTTTTGGTGTTGCTGCCAGTCAAGGTGCACTTCTTCTTGCTGGTGGTGAAAAAGGCATGCGGTACGCAATGCCAAATGCTCGGATTATGATACATCAGCCGCAAAGCGGATGTGGGGTAGGGCACTGTTTGTTTTGAAGTTTTTTTGTTGTTCGAATATCAGTCTTTTAGTCTTTAACATGATAAGAAAACACAGGATGAAAGTAGAAAGGAAAAAATAAAAAAGAGAAACATGTAGCTTATCCAGCTTCCTTGCTACAGGAAGAAAAATACAGGAATAGGTCTTTTGTGCTGTTGGTTTTCCTCCGTTAACAACAATAGGAAAAATAAGAAATATAGCCCTACTTTTTTGTTCTTTCATTAGACTCTTGTATGACGTGGTATAGTGGTTTGTTGTGGTGATTTTAAAACGTAAGCAAAGAGGCAAAGAAAGAAGACTTTTTCTCTCCGTTGAATCTTGCAAACATAGCAAGCATGTTGCTCAATAGTCATCTATAATTGGTGATTATCTTTCTATGTTTCCAGGGTCATGTGGAGGATGTGAGGCGCCAAGTGAATGAAGCAGTTCAGACTCGTCATGTCAGTTTTCTATCCTTTTCAGCATTTTCTGCTGTTCTGTTCTTTGCTGAATTTATGTTTGGGTCTTAACTTAATCTGGGAATGGGAATGGTTATTGGATATTATTCTCTACTTTTGTTATAAATCCCTTCTCATGTCACTGATATCCCGCCACACCTTCAGATTTACGATATTAATAATGAGTTTGTCGCTGCGAAGCAAATTTGAGGGATGAAGGTCTTATCTAATATGTCATAGTTCTATACATGATAGAAAGTGTAGCTACAACTTCACCACAAAATACTCACTTTCTCCCCTTGGCTCCATGGCAGAGGTCTTGACAAGGATTAGGTCCCCAATAAAGTATTCCTAAATGAATTTACCTGTTGTTATGGCTGCTTCATTATGCTGAATTTTTCATCCCCGAAGTAATTCTAAGTTTTATTGCTGACTACTCTTGGTTGGTTAAATTAAGTGTGATAAATAATCAGAAGTAACTTTACATCCTCAACTGTTTTGTTGATTTTACTAACCTCTGTCTCACTTATTTGTTTGATCAACAGAAAATTGACAGAATGTATACTAGTTTTACTGGCCAACCTCTAGAGAAAGTGCAGCAGTACACTGAAAGGGATCGTTTTCTATCTGTTTCTGAGGTAACCTTGCTCAACTCAATGGTTAACTTTCTTCTCCAATGTGAATGGCTTCTTGTTGCGTTAGAATGGTATCTGTGATGGAGTTTGATTTGCAGTCACTATATTCACATGTGAAACTAAATTTTGGCTTTGTTTTCTTCCGGCTGGCAGGCTATGGAGTTTGGTCTGATTGATGGGGTTTTGGAAACTGAATATTGAAGTGTGCTACTTGCACTCGAGTATGTCATCCTTAGCCGCACAAGAGAGTAAATGAGATGCACACTTCTGCACATGCTAGTGATTATTCCTTGGCATCTGGTTGGAGCATTCTTCACAGACACAACTGCTAATGCCTCCGCCACCAAACTTAAATTTCGTTCCCTCTTTGTTTTGGCAATCACAGGGAGGATAGTCCGGAGGAGATTTTTGTGTCTATATGCATACACAACAGGAAACCAGCACTTTTAGCAGAGGAACGGAATGTTGTACGTGAAGAATGTAATGTAACCAACAATGTATCCCGATTTGCATTTGTACTCCCTGCATGTATCTTGCTTCATTTATCATGATATTGCAAATTTCGTAAGTGTTTGTAGCAGATTTATGCACTTTTCTCCGGGTTGATAACTTGTTAGGTCATTAAGCGGTCAATCATTATCCAGGAAACAAAAGGCTAACCGGATGTTCAACTATTACTCCCTCCGTCCAATAATTATTGTCCACTTTACCCAAAAAATTTTGTCCCAAAATTATTGTTCAATTTGACTTTTTATGGATCAAGTTACAGATTTGTCCTTAGTAAAAAACATTATCCATTAAAATCTTTGTGGTTAAACAATTACTTATATATGGGTATATCCGGTTGTTCACGGTAAAATATAGTTAAGTTTAACTAAAAATAAAATCTTTCATTTTTAGTAAAACTGACAATAATTATAAGACGGAGGGAGTACAATATTAGCATAAAGTTAAACCACAAGATACAAGACAGATAGAGGGGCCAAACTACAACAATACGAATTTTGATTAAAAAGTTGCAAAAATAGTACAACAATATATTAGGCCATAACCAATGTCCATTCATTGAGTTTCGTCCTTCCACAGGAAGAAAATACCCCCGGAATGAATTGCTCACGAACCTGGAAAAGGATCAACATTGAAATAAGATAAATGTTCTTTCAACACTAAAAGTGACAATAGTCTGCCTAAAATAAAAGTTTATTTTCAGGTTCCAACAAAGGTAATGCACGTTTCCGGTCACTCAGTGACAAGAAAGTAATTTTAGTGAGCCCATTGGTCAACTTAATAATCAGAACCACCATTCCGCTGAAACTAATGACATTGGTTGTAAACTAAAGATGAGCACGTAAAGGACATGGGAAGAAATGATATTGGAAGCATATTGCAGATAGCATCTATCAAGCTACTCCCAGTCCCAGACATGAAGTTGCATTTTGATAACATTTTCAAAACTTGGCAGCTTGAAAGTTTCTTATAAGAATATGGTAAGATCAAAATCCTTATATTCTGCATTTAGTGTTCTACCAAAAAACATTCAATTGATTTTAGTTGTAATATTGCATAGCTACCAAGGGAGCTGGATTAAGAAACCAATACCATAGTTTTGGCGAACCATAGTGTACTTGTAGATGGCTTTCACCAGGGCACCGTATTTCATAGACTTCAATGACCCCATATGTCTGCAGTCATACAAAAAGGAGGCAATCAAATATCATGCTTACTAGAGGGATTTAAGATGTCAACATTGGCACACATCTTGCTGTTTCAAAAATCAATCCCAATCATCATAAAAGGTTTCATAAATCATAAGAAAGGGGGTTGCAGATTCTTCACAACAGTAAAGAGAGAGGGCATCGAAAAGAGTTAGTTGAAGGGGCTTGCAAGACCCACTGGCTAACTGCTAGTCATCTTTCTACAACTAAGTAAACACAGGACCTGCCTACTCCAGTAGTCTCTCTATTGCGGACCATAAGAATGGAGATTGTGCAGGGTAAATACCATTGCATGTGAGTTTTACGCAAATCCAAGCTTTGATACTATCTTCAACAGTTCAATTCATAATATACTTCAACAATCACACAAATAATATGGGCCGAAGTCAGGAATGCATTGCACAAAATCCCTGAATTACACCAGTACGTCCATTTTAGTCGTGAACCAAGCAGATGACATTTCAAGGCCTCATCTTCCATAGCTGAAGAAAGGGGATTTTAAAGGATAGGTGAAAAGGAAATGGTACTTACACAATCTCAGTGTACCGAAGTCTCCATGCTGGAAACCCAAGATGGCACCGTATGGGTCCATAAATTAGTAAGAGATCAGGCTCTGGTCCACCAGACCCTGATAAGCCAGAAAAGAGCATTGAGACAAAACAAAATGGAAACTGAAAAAATTTTTCCTAACAACTCTAGAATCCAACAAAGGAAAAGCGCATACCAATGGCTGCTAAAGCCTCTCCCATTTGAGGCTCTGTAAAGTCTGTTTTTTCCTTATCGCCATTTGTATAGTGCTTGGTAAAGAGATAATTCGCTGCCTTAACTACTGCTTCCTTTCCATCGGAGAATGAGACAAATTCCAAGGTTAAGTTTCTGTCTGTAGCAACTGCACCATTAGTTGAAGATTCCTGCAAGAAGCCAGGGTTCAAGTGTATCAGGCACATTTCTTCACTAAAAGGTTGAAAGTGCTCATTTGATGCGAAATCGTGCTGCAGAACTTTGCTATTACTAACACAGATTCTTCTAGCTTTAATTTTATCATAGTAGATTTCTATCAAAATCCATTTGTGTTTTCATTTTCCACTATTCTACATAGCACGGTTTCTAGCATATTTGACTTCATCTCAATTTTGTCATGTCAGAGGCAACACACGTCTCTCCAAAGCAACAACTACACGGACAAGAGAAAGAAGAATGATTTTTACGGCTTTTACAAGCTAAATTTTTATGGAAAACAATACCAAACAGCTTAATCAATGAATCTCATGCATGATATATTATGAATGGGTACCAAAATTTAAGGAAGTGTCTCTGAGTACGACTAACGGCAGCTGACAGTAGATGAAGATGATAATACCTCAGAAACTTTTGTGCTACTGAACCTGTCTGTGATTGCTTCTTTGTATTTCTTCAACACCCCTGCAATGGAGTATCAACATAGCAGTCATTATCGGTCACTTGAAATTTGACAAGTGAGCTATCAAACACATAAAGTCATTTTAGCAATCTCAGTATTGCTCACCATCTGGGTCATAAAGGCAGACATTTCTCACACCAATGTCGACAAGCCACTCCAACAGTTCAAATACTTTCGAAATCTGCCGAGCTTCTCCACTGTCAATCACCACAGCTAAATACCGAACCTTGCTGATATCGAGGGCTTCATATTTCTTAAATATATCACTAGCAATGAGAAAGCTCTCGAAATACTGTACTATGCCCACCAGAAAGAACCATATGCTGACAGCCAAATGCAGAAAGAGCCAGAGTATACGAAGTCCAAGATTTCCACTCTGAGAAAATCATAAATACAAATGAGCATCCACCAAAGAATACATAACCAAGTATGCGATCTACCTATGTCAATATGGCATCATCATCTATTACATATATGCTCAGAATTCAGAAGTTATGAGCTTTAGTTTTCTCAAATGAATGAGGTCATCTCTAGAGGTCAGAAATACAATTTCCAAATCCATCATAAAGGGCATCCTTCAGCAAATTACCCCGTACTTGTATTAATTATGGAAACCATAAAGTCAAGATAAAGTAAACAACTTATTTATAACATGCTTCGACATATTAGGTAGTTAACTTACCGGGACCCTGAGCCCCTGGCATGAGGAAAATTAGAAGATTTAAACAGCATCTACAGCAACATAGTATAAAAGAGAAACTCAGACGAGAACATGCACAATAGTAAGTATCGGCAAGATCTTTCCAAAGATGGTGCCAATACACCATAAAGGGTACAAATTTACTTTTTGAAACAATCAGCTTAGGCACCAAAAGTATTTTCCACTTATTGGCCTATATTGTAAAATTTTCTTTTGCTCTCTCTTTCTGGGAGGAAAAGGAGTAAATGCAACCAAACCAATATTCAAATGCCCAATTTATCATTTAGAAAAAGCCCTCGTCACAATTCAACAAATAAGTACTTCAGGCTGAACATCCAACAAGAACAGTAACAGAGAAAAATATAATGATCACAGCAATCACTCACCGCAGAAGCCCACTTGACAAGCCTCTGCATTTCCTCCCCAAAATCCAATATTCTGCAAGCATTGAGGAAAAATAAATAAATTCATTTATCATATGCTTTAGCCTATTCATGAACCACAAACTCATCTAATAGTAAATAGACATGAACATTAAAAAAAAAAACGAGGAAGGCATTGTTGCAAATAAAAATTCCAGGAATCAAAAAAAGGAAATCAAGATGCTAACATGGATTCAAGCATTTGCAGGATAGCAACCAGACGGAAAAATTGGAGCGGAAACAACATCTTGGGTTTAGGAACAAGCTTAAACAACGAATTCGGAGTAGGAACAAGCTGAAACAACGCCTTGGGTGTAGGAACAAGCTTAAAATCAGAAGGGTTCAGAGAACCCAAATTCTTCGCCGATAACATCGTTATTCGAATGAATTGAAACAAGCCCAGATGGTTTCAAAAGACCGAAACGTTCAGATGAAGTGAAAGAAGAAGTAGAAGTAGAAGTAGAAGTACAAGAATCTGGTGAAGAATTGAAGAGGAAACTGAGACGAAAAAATAAATGGAGAGACGTACCAATACTTATTGCTCTCCATCAGGGGAAGCTTGTGGTGCATGTCCTCGATTGCCTATTCTTCCCGTACAATCATCAAACCACGACAAAAACACTCTCAGATTTGTTATTTTTAGTTTTGTTTTTCTGGGATAAATTCTTAATCAGACTACAAAATTTAGAACCAGAAATTAACTGGTGGATATTAAATTTGTGGAATTTTATGGGGTTATTTATTTACATGCGTCTCTCTCAGAAGTCAGCACTCACCAAGACGGCTTTCCTCTCTGTTCTGTTCTTGTTCTTCATCATCAGAAAGATCAAAATTTGAGGTAATCTTTTCCTCCCTTTTCTGTTTTCTTTTCTTTTCGGCCTATGGTTGGATTGGACTCGGAGGAAGATACTGGAGACTCTAGAATTTTGTCCATTTGTCGGCCCATTAGGTTGGCCCTTTGATCTTTATTCTGTTTGCTTTTCTAATAATTAAAGAAATAAAAAATGAGTTTCTCAACTAGGTTTTCTTTTTCTTTTTTGTGGAAGTTATAATTCGGCTACAAATATTTATCTAACACAAATAAATAAATAAATAAATGGCAGAAAAATTATGACGGAAAATGAAACAAAGACACATCCATCTAATATTTTAGCCCACGTAAATCTGGATTTTTTTTTCTATTTTAATATTTCAAAATCTCTAAACGAATTTTTTTGGATACAATGAATTAGGCATTAATATCAAATGCAAGCTTAAACAAAACCAGCTCAAAAACGGATCGAAGCAATAATATTCAGACCTAGCTAGAGAATTTAAGCTCGTATTTTGGATCATTCAATTTTTACAACATCTCAAAAAGTTCGAAAATATATATGTAATGTAAAAATGGTGATGGAAATATTTCAAAAAAACACCAATCATGAAGAAATCACAATTAACAAAAATCCAACAACCCAAACCCTCTAATTAGAAAATGAGATCGAAACATAAATTAGAGACAATCAACATAACACGAAAAAGCCACCATTAACGAATTTAGAGAACGAACAAAGTGAGAATATAAGAATGATATAGAGACGGTGATAGATATATAGTGAAAATATATAGTAACTGATGTATATTGATGAAATTATAACTTTGAAGGAAAAGATAAAATTTCAACGATAAAGCGACAACAAAATAAAAATTACACATCAAATAATACATTTTTCCACTATACCATTTCATTACATGTATCATTTTCCTAAAGTTAAATTTGGTAAGATGGCCGACGATGGATTGAGGGTGAAGATGAAAGTTTTAAGTTTTTATCTTGGGTGATTGATTTGGTAATGAAATGTTAGTATGTTTTTTTTAAAAAAAAAAAAATGAAAACGGTGATGAAATGTGTAGTGAAAGCATAAAAAATAAACTATAAAAAAATGCTAATAAAAAGAATATCTTTATAGTTCGACTAGCCATGGAGCTAATATTTCGAGGATTGAATTTGTCTTTATTTTTATAAAATAGTATAAATTTAAACTGGCCAATCATTTCTACATGAAATAAATAACACAATGTTTAGACTTCAACCTAAGGTCATCCAGTATCAAATTTGATTCAAGACTTGACCGACCAGGCTAATGAATAGAAAAGCGCTAAAAAAACTCGCGAGCTGTTGATAAGTAATCTTAGGTAATTCCCTACTTTCTTTTTTACCCCTATCAATATTAGTGGATATGTATATTATATATATTGAAAAATGAATTAAAAAGAAAAAGAAAAAGAAAAAGAGAAAAAAAAAAATCTGTACAGGCGGCCAATTACATTGGAATTCGTGTGCTAAATGATTCAGTTATAGGGATTGATCAAAATTATAGGAACATCTTTAAATTCTCACATAACCCCATGCAACGCAGGAAGGCCTAATGTTTTTACTACTACATCGCCCAATCGCTACGACGTTTGAGCAATTCTAAGGGGATATATCCTCCGTGCATCATAACTTTCCGTGCACCCAATTTCCCCCTTTCCTTGTCTTTTAGTACCACTAGTACTCTTTTTTTATTTGCCCCCTTCATTTTTCCCCCTTGCTTTATTTGCCATCATTGCATTCACAAAATGGCATGCATCCTTTGCACGTAACATTACATTGTTAAGAAAAAGAACTCAAAACTTTTTTTTTTTGGGTTAAACAACTTGTGATAATTATAAATTTCAGATAAACTACTTCACCCGTCCCATAATTATCGTCCAGTTTGGATTTTCATTTTTAGTTCAAATTATACTAAAGGTGAAATCTCAAACTAGACAATAATTTTAGGACAAAGGGAGTATGTTATAGGTGAACAATTAAAATGGAGTCGCAGTATATCAATGCAGTTTAATAATTGGTCCTTTGTCCTCATGAAAGGAAAACATAAGCAAATACTTCCAAAATGACGTGACACATGCAATATTTCCACCAACAACAAATTAACGTTAAATTCCATGTATGTGTACAATCTCCAATTCATCACCCCTCGATATTTTTTACTCCCTCCGTTCCCATAATTGTTATTTGGATTTTCATTTCTAGTTCAAATTGTATTAAAAGTGAAATCTCAAACTGGACAATAATTTTGGGACAGAAGGAATAACATTTATGCTAGTCAAGATATGATAAAGGATATATAACCACATTCAATATCAATAAATTACGTGCAACTTATAATACACGTTTGCACGAGATATAATCTTCAGTGTTAAATTTATGTTACTTACATTCAGAAAATATATTCTAACTCATCGAGAAAGGTTCCCTTATTTGGCAATCTATTCTCCAGGGGAAACTAGTTACATTAATGGAACAGTTCTATTGATTGTTAATGGAGCTACTATTAGTACTTTAATTTCACTAATTATGGTGATCAACTGTGAAATACAGACCACAGATACCCGAATATATATGTCATTAATGTAAATCAACTAGCTAGCTTTGCAACAGAAAAAATGAGAGTAAAATCAAACGCAATTTCATTTTGCTTCTTGATCAGAACTACCATACATATATAGAAGTAGAAACTAACGTCAAAGCTAGAAGCAATCAATGAAAAAACTAGATCAAACTCCATGATTAATTTCCCATAATCTAAGGCCTCCCCCTAATTAATGATGAAATTCAAGCCCTAGCTAGATCCCAAATTTAGTACTAAAACAAGCTAGCTAAGCTAACTCTAAAAATAAGAACAAATCCAGCCATTTTTCCTATCAACATCCATATTCAGACAAAAGCATAATTAACCAGAACGTACCAAACCCAAAAATGCTAGCTAGCCAAATCTGATCATCATCAGTCTCTGAGTAAAATCAGCAATTCCTATGTTCGTACGTACTAATTCCCTACGACTTAATTGTACCATTTTTTCGACATCAAGGAAAATGACAACTGTTTTCTCATCGATCAAAAGGGCCATTGGGATCAAGCTGTTTGCACAAAGTCAGGTACGTTAGAAAAAGAACACGATCCTTAGCGCCCGTACGATGATTCTTGGTATGCTTGCAGAAATACTTAAGCTGTTCCAATGTACAACACCCCAGCAATTGACCCAGAAGGAGAAACAACCAATTGATGGCGTCTTTATCCTCAGGGATAATTGGCTTGACGCAATTGTCCTCCTCACAGAGTTTGCAAGCCGGAAGAACCGGGTTCATCCAAACCCCGGGAGCCCGGTCGTGCATATTGCTCTTGTTCTGGGCGATAAAAGTCCCAACCTCCACAAAGTTCTGCCTCAAATCGAACTCCATTTCGAACTTCCGGTCACATCTCTTGCAGTGGACTTCACCGCCGATGTTGAGGATCTGTTTCGACACCAGGTAATCGAGGGTGTGGATGGTGGCGCGTTGGGTTGTCGCCCATGGAAAAGGAGGGATTAGCACCGGCTCGTTCATCTTCGCTTCACGCGGTTCTTGCGATTGGTTCCGCCGTTGCCTGTTTGGCCTAATCGGACCGCCGGTTGTTGGTTGGTGTTGACCACGGTGAGGAGCCGCCGCCGCCGCCGACTGCACAATGGGTGGCGCCGCCGCTAGGGTGTCGTTATTATGACCCGGTCGGGTTACCGGCATGGGAGGCATGCAAAGTGGGTAAGCTTGGTGGTGGGGTGGCGGTGGCGGTGGCGGAGGAGGAGGAGGCAGAGTCGTCGTCGATAACGGCTGCTGGAAGAAGGGTTCAAACTGCATGACTGCTGGCGACGGCGGAGGCGGCGGCGGAGCCGGAGGAAGTTGTTGTTGTTGAGGGTGGTAAACCGGAGAAAGATGTCGGGTTCTGGTGTCGGCTGGGCATAAAGAAAGAGAAAGGGATAAAAAACCAGTATCATTTTCGTCGGCGAGGTCATCAGAGGATGGGAGTTTTCTTGGGACCTGAAAATCATGGCTGCTCTTCTTCCTCTTCCCGCTAATTTCTGAATCACTTGACATTTCTTTTTCGTTTTTCTTTCTTTCTTTGGTTCTTTCAACAGCGGAAAAGGACAAAGGAAAGATAAAAAAAAAAAAGCCCCCAAATAAAACTTTTATTACTGCAAAAAAGGGGTTCAAGACAAAAGGACGGAATTCAGACTTTGAGACTGTAAGATAGGGGAAAAGAAAGAAAGAAAGACTGAGTAAGAGAGTAGTAGAAAGTGTAAAAGAGCGATATTTCAGAGAGGAAGGAAGGAAGAAAGAGAGAGAGAGAGAATGGAGATTAGGGATAGAGATGAAAAGTGGAAGCAAGAGTTCTAATTTGTTAAGAATTCTTTCGAAATTCAAAATGTCCATCCAAATTCTTCGATTTCTCAGGATTATATATAAATCTTCCCGAAATTTGCGTTTCACCCACATAACAAAAATCAAAAAACAATTTTTTTTATTTTTTTTTTAAAAATTATTATTATTATCAGATCACATTATTAATACTATAAGAAGAAGAAGAACAAAAAAATGATGATAAAACAAATGGTATTACAGCGGTGATATATACCAGCAGATTCCATTTTACCCAGGCCGTTGCTGACAGACAGATTGGTCCACTGTACGTAGTACTGTACTGAGTCGTTTACAATGAAACTTTAAAATTGCTTAAGAGAGGAAAAATACCAAAAAAGAGTTTGCTGTTAAAAAAAAAAAAAAAAAGAAGATTAGCACTCATTTTGTTCTTTTGTAATTATCGGGAATTCTGATGATTCGATTCGAGCACAGACAAATCGTGAGTTTGTTTTGGCATTTGATTTTTTTTTTTTTTTTTACCTCTAAGATATGTTTCTAACAAATCGGAGTATATTAATATATGTGCATGTAGCAGTAGTAACGACAGTAGTACCAATTAAATTAGTTGTACTCAAAATTAATCTATTGAGTTGAGTAAAAAATACTGAGACCCCAAGCCCTAAAATTCGCGTAATCTCATCTCGTCCATGATTGCCAATAATTATCAAGCGAATCAATATACTGTACGTGTTTGAAATTAGTAGTCCTATTCATTTTGGGACGTCAAATATTTGATACGGATCCGGACATGTTTTTCTCTTTTGTTAAGAGGTGGTAAAATATATAAATGTCTCATATGTACACTGTACACAATGTCCTTATTTTCTATTACAGTCTTCCATATGTAAATGTCTCATCATTCCTCTGTTTTTACAAGAGAACTGTAAGAAAAAAAAAAAAAAAAGAAACTGTAATTTCCATATCCGGACATGTTTTTCATTATTTATTATTATTGTTATTTTAGGGGGTATGGCTTCACTGGTGTTCTGTGTGTGCGCGTGCGTGTGTTTAAACCTGGACAAATTATGTTTTCCGTAGAGGGTCTAAAGACAAATAGCCATAAAATGAGTTAACTACCTGATTTGGTATTAGGCAAAGGTGGTGTCGCTACTCGCTAGTTTTAGTTGCTCCAGTATCTAAGTAAAAAAAGAGTTTGTGGTTAAAACGATTATCACTCATTTGTGTTTGTTAATTATCGGAGATTCTGATCATTCGAGCGCGAAAGATTCGTGCGTTTGTTTTACGACCTGTACGTTTTGTACTGACACGTGTTTCGATATGTATATTTGTGCAAAAATTATTTTATTATTACATACACTACTACAATTCTCATTTTTTTAGTACAAAAACAACTGAACAGTTTCACACACCCCATAATATATCTATCACCGTCCAAAATACAGTACACTTTAAGCCCTTAAACAGCTAGGGTAAGCTTACGAAGGTGGTCTGGTTCAGGATCGTCGTGGACGTTGGTTTTGATTGTTTGAGATCAATATAACTATATAAGGTAGGGCAAAATTACAGTAGATGAATTATTTGCATCATTCCTGAGCTTACAAGTTGTTTGGAATTTGGAGAATCATCAAATTATTATTGTGATGTATAATTTGAGTGTGATCCGGATGGTCGAAAGTATGAGTTTGTTAACACACGTTGGAGTTTGATTTGAAATATTTGTGATATGGTTTGACGGGGCAAATGTAAAAGTTATACATGTTTTATGTGAGTATAACATTTGTGCGGATTATTCAGTATTCTCAATCACTGATCATTCGATTGGTTTGCACTGGTTAAAACATCCCATAATCGACCATTTATGGTAAAACAATGGCTAGTATGACAATCGAGGCCTCTTACACCAAAACATTTTAACTTAGGCACCGTTTGATAAAACTTAAATTGGGTCTGAAGTTTGAAATCTGAAGACTGAATCATAAGTACTGAACTGATTAAGTTTCTCGTGTTTGATAAAAACTAAAATCTGAACACTGAATAAAATGTCTGAAATCTGAAGTCTGAACACTGAAATTTAAAGTATCTCGACTTATGATTTTATCTAAAACAACAATTGATGTATATAAAACTATGATAATAAAAATAATAATATTATTATAAAATAATGTAATAAAAAGATTTAAATTTTATTATGTTATTATTTTTCCAGTTAATAATAATGTCCTATTTCATCATTGTTAAAAAATATCTTATTTTAATATTTTACGGTAAATATATATTGATCATGGAATTTAATGGATTTTAATTTTTATATAAAAATAATTATTTATTGAATAAAAAATAATTTACATAAATTTTTATTTAGAACTAGACATCATGATTAATAAAAATATTTCAAGATAAAATATCAAAAGTATAAACATAAAAATAAATAAATAGAAAAAAATCGTCTCAAGAATTCAATTCAGACATAAGTGATAGGCCTATCACTTATTTTTAGGCTCACATTTGTACTAGCATTTCAGACCCACTTAATTTATTAATACATCTTATTTGAGTTATCAAACGCACTTAAAATTTAAGTCATTAATAAATTAAGTTCTTAATCAATTAAGTTGTTATGATATTGTGTTATCAAACACTTCTAATCAATTAAGTACTTAATTAATAAATTTAAGTGCTTAATTGGTTTATCAAACAAGGCCTTAGTTTGTATTATCTTGCCTAAACTAATCTTTCTTCTCGGAGAAAAAAAAAAAAAGCTCATGCCCCTTCAGTTTGTTGGTACAATTAATATATCATTGATCCTATTATTACATTGTCCTCCTCTGTCTCAAAATTATTTCGGAGTGCTTGCAACATGTATATGAAATACTTATTTGTATTTTGTCTTTCCCAAAATAATTCTGCGATTTGAATTTTATATTTAATACAATATGTTCTTAAAGAAAAAATAAAAACCAGATAATTATTTCGAAATAAAAAAGTACATTACATTACTAATTTAGTTGTATTCTATTTAAAGTTATCATTTCATCGACGAAAGTAGTAGTTAGTCTAAAAAAAAATCCACATTCAGTGTTACTCCTCTAACCTAAAAAAAAAAAAAATGTTTACATTGAACTTTAAGATTTGTATTTACAAATCTTGAAACTCAATTTAAACTTTTTTTTAGATAGAGGAAGAATAATTAAATCTATAATCAAATTTTTTTTAATATATATGTGAAGGAAACCTAAGCTTGGAAATTACAAAACATCCCCATGGAATTGAGAGGATCCTAGCAAATCTATAATCATAATTGAGTAAAAAGCACTTGTATCCAAAATATGACATAGATGCCTGCCCAGCCCGTATGACATATTTGGTAGGTATTTGTCACACATAGGTGGAAATTTAAAATTTAAAATTTAGGGTAATCAATTTGGGGCTGAAGTCGAACGTAGAGGAGTTGAGTCGTTTTGGGGCAGAGTTAATTTATTTTAGATATTTTATGTTTTATTTACTATTTACTGTTTTCCCTTTAATTACGGCGAAGGAAACTTCCAGGAAAATTCGTCTTATGATTAGTTGTAATGATAACGATGCATCTTTGTAATCATCGTTAATCATTGTACGGATTTCCTATATTACGACAGCCTTTGTGATTGGGAATGATTATGAATGAATTTAATGAAATTTTCCTCAATCCTAATCCTCTGTCTTAAACCCTCTATATTTTCCTTCTTAATTTATCCTCCCTTCTTTTTAATTTCCTCTGAATTCTGACTCTATTTTTTTGGATTTAATTCCATATTGTGACATTTGGTATCCCAGAGCCTAGATCCTTCGACCATTTTACAGTCAGAAACGTCCACCGTCACTAGGTCTCAGAAGGTCGCTGCCGATGAGCGGAGCAAAAAGTTTGATCTTTGATTGGACTCGACGGAAAAGAAAATTGATGAGCTCAGGGAAATAAAGGCCGAAGTTGATGAGTTAGTGGAGCTGAAAGAGCAAGTTAGACTTATGACAGAAGCCTTCCGATTAATGCAGACGGCGAACAAAGGAAAGATGGTGGGAGGAGAGCCCTATGAATCACCGGATCAGGGAGTAGTTAAAACGCCAGAAGCGAATCTCAAGCTACCGGCGGAAGAGGTTATTCAACCGCCGGTCAGAGAGAGGATCAACGCTTATTCCAGAAACCTGGAAAGAGCAAAACAATCAGAGAGGTGGTCATAGGACAACCTTTGTGATGCAACCACGGATTGAGTTGTCTGAAATTACCGGTGATGACTCGAGAAGTTGGGTGAGGAAGTGTGAAAGATACTTCCAGTTTTACGGGGTAAGGGATGACCTTAAAGTATAAACAGTGGAGATCTACCTTTAAGGAAAGGCAGAAGTGTGGTTTGAGGGTTTCAATCCGGGTAGATTAAAATTGAATTAGAGGGAATTTAGTGATTCCAATGATATGCCAGTTTGATATAAGAGGAGGGCAAGATGAATTTGAGCAATTTAACAAACTCTTTCAAAAGGGTTCTGTGTTAGAATACATTGAAAAGCTCGCAAATTTGAAAGTAAAAGTGATGCGGTTGAATCACAATCTGCCTGATTCGTATTTCATGTCCAGCTTTATGAGTGGATTAAGGGAAGAGCTTAAACCTACTCTTCGACAGAAGAAACCTCATGATTTGTCCTGACTGATGGATGCAGTGGTTCTACAAGAACAAGATTTGGAGCTA